CCGATCTTCGTAGTTTGTTTACATTTATTTTTCGCGCCATTTTTATTTTCTTTTAAAATCACCATTCTTTATGATCCCTTCACATAAAGTCACTCTAAAAAGACATTAGGGAACCCGAACTATATAATATTTTGAATACGTCAGAGTACGCATGCGCTAGAAAAAGAGCAACGTAAAGTATCCTTCTTAAGTTTTAATTATGATTTAATTAGACAATATCAATTGCAATTGCGATGAAAAACGAAATCAAAGTTAAACTTTTAACAAAGACTTGTTTTGTAAACCTTTCACTCTGTTCGATATTTAAATTTAACTTTAAATGAGTTATTTATTTAATTTTTTAATCGCGTGTAACTGCAGTAATTATTTCAGGTTGTTTATGATTTGCAGAGATCGAAAAACGGAAGGACGGACGCACGTACACTGCGCTTTATTATTACAGATATTTTCCTACTTACCTGAAGAAGTCGCGGTAGCTAAATATGGCATACTTTGATCAGAAATATATAATCCAATACGGTATGTTCCATTTGGTCGAAGATTGATTGTGCGAGAAATTTTATCAGCATATTTCAACATCCCTATTTTTGAGTTGTAAAGAATAAGTTCGTTGTAATTCAGAACACTGAGGTTGAAGACGGCTTTGCATCCATAGACGGTTAACAGAGACAAGTTTGTTAAAACTGCAATTGAAAAAAGAAATAATAAAATCTTGCACAATGAAATTAGGTAGTACTTCATGCAACATGTAGTACAATATAGATATTATACAATACAATAAAATACAATAATAGTTTTTTAAGCGTTGTTTAGTTTAGAAAAAGGCATCAATATTGGAGAGCACTGTGAGGCAAGAAGTCAAGACATAAGAAATTAGTGGCAATACGAGAGTTTTTCTCTATTTTGTTATTCAAACATTTGATTAAATACTTTAATTGACTTATTTAATGCAGAATTTTAATTTTCTTTGGAACTTTGAAGTAATATGTTTATGTTGTAGTTTTGTGAAGTTATATTTTGAAATAGTTTGATTTCTTTAAGAAATTGCAGGAATAGATTAATGGATTATGGATTAATGTCATGAAAGTTTTCTTTCATGTTGATTAATGTATTGTTGGCAATTTTACTTTAAATATGCGGTTTTAGAATTTCATGGTGTTTTTTTTTTTTTTTTGTTTGAGGGTTTTACTATTTGTCCATAGCTAGGACACTAACAAGTGCTACCACTACGGGTCGGAGTGAACCTGAGAACAACAGTAATTAACAGTTAGTTTCTCAAAACCGTCAATCACCTGAACAGAGTACTTGCTGCCGGATGTAGTATATCCTCATACCCAGGACTGGTTATATTTTTGTTTTGTTTTGTTTTACAGCATATCAACCTCAATGGGTTATTTAATGCCGACAGGATTTTTATTGATGATAATATTTTTTTTCAAAAATGTACTGCTGGTAATAATGTATTGCAGGGAATAATTTTTTCTTCAAAAATATATTGCTGGTAATAATTTTTCCAAAAAAGTGTTGCTGGTATTAAAACCTATTTTTATACTTTCATAGTTTTTTGACTCCATTTGGCGGTGTGGGTGGGGGTAACTATTTGCCCATAGCTGGAATCCTGACAGGTGCCACCACCCCGGGTCAGGGTTGACCTGGGAACACCAACAATTAAGAGGTGGTTCCACGATCCTCAAAACTACCTAAATCAAAGGCCTTGCTGTCGGATGTAGTTTATCGTCATACCCAGGACGGGGACTGGTTATGCAATTATCTACTATAAAGTATTAGGTAAAATACACGGGCTATGGCTGAGTGAAGTGAGAAATAGAGCACTAACAGAAAAAGCACGAGAAGTTGTGGAGAGCCCTGATCAGCCACATTTTGAAGGAACACGCATATAGAAGAAGAAGAAGAAGAAGAAGAAGAAGAAAAACCTAAAAGATAGGTGATATCATGTCAAATGTTTGAACAAGGGCGCAATTTCTGTGCTTTCTAGAGGTGCTATCTGTCCCAATCCTATTTGGCGCCTTTTTTCTTTGTTTCCTTGTGGAATTGAATGAAACATTGCAGTTAAAGTAAAGTAACATTGTCTTACCTGTTGGCACAGGAATATTCTTAATCGTAGTCAAGCTATATGGCTGAGACGCATACATTGCGGTGAGGGAGAAGGAAGTATATCTCTTTGCTGTTAGATCTTGTAGGTACACTGAATTGTTTTTTATCTGTAATATCGCTGAAAGACAAAAAAAATAAAACATTAGTCAATTCACTGCGCTTCATTAAAAACTCACTAACACACATATTTTCCAAGTTAAACTCACTGCAACAAAAAAGTCTCGAGGGATATTATGTGGACGGGATTCTATTGCTATAAGTTTTCAGGTATTGGCAGTCTGTCTACCGAGAACATGAACACTCGAAATCTCGACTATTACCTGTCATCTGTGAAGGATTGTGTTGCGTCAATATTTTGGTTAGAAGCCTTTCTGACTTTGGTAATTAGCATTCGAAATCCTGACTTTAATCACTCCTCAAATACCGGTGAAAAATACACTCAGGTCAACGCAGAGTGGCAACAGCCTGTTTCATGTTGAAACGCAATTTTCAGATGGCCTGAAAGCATGAAACAGACTATCGACATTCGATGTTGATCTCAATAAGAACTTTCATAAATACACGCGCTCTATCTATGAGCAATTTTACCCATAAATATAGCACACTTTAAAAATATAAATTTATTACACACACACACACACACACACACACCTGCGCACATATATATGCGTGTGTGTGTCTGTGTCATATAAGAATAAAGTGTCGCTGCTAACACTGTAGTTTGAACATAGATCGCCAGTGAGCAAACACAGGCGATCCCATTTTGAATAAGTAGATTACGTGATAGCAAAGAATATGTATATATGGGAATTAGCATGGCGTCTAATTGATCACTATTTCTACACTATCCTCTATACGGATTGCTATTCTCTATACTATTTCTCAATACTATTTCTCTATACTGATCGCTATTCGGTGGATACTTTTCGAGCGAGTATTATCGAGCAAGTACTATCAGTGCGAGTGTTATTCGAAGGCGTCTGACATCAGCATTGTTCAACGACGTTACTATTGTTGTATCTGCGATTACAAAGTCTCTACTACAATGAGCATTATGAAAGTGACACCGACATCACAAAAATGTGTGTGTGTGTATGTGTGTTAACAAAACAAACACAAAAAGTAATCTACTGCTTTAAATACAAAACATTTGAAAACTTTATAAGCTCTTTACATTAATATTAGTATATATTATTCTGAATTATAATGTGTAGTCACTATCTTTGCTAAATTTTACTTGTGTCTGGCATAAGGCCATAAGAATGGTGTCCAAAAGAAGATCAAACTCAATATATATATAGAGTATCCCAGAATTAATTATCTATCTCAGTGAAATCGGACAATTTAAAAAAAAAACAAAAAACTTTTATTTCTGTTAATCTTGTTTAAGTGTATAAATTTCTAATTTTGTTAATAACTTTATAATTCTTTTTTCTAATTTTATTTTCATTCCCTTACAGAACCTTATTAATAATGAATACATAAGAACGCATCTTTGTTGTCCCTCACTCATGGATTTCTTTGCGTGGGGTTTCATAAAAACAAAGGTTTATTGCCAAAAAGATTAATAGTCTCGCTGAGCTTAAAGAACAAATTCAGTTAGCAGTGCAGGAGATAACTCCTCAAATGCTTCATGGGTTAAATAGGATTTTGTAAGCCTTGGTTGGCAACCAGTCAGCCGCAGAAAGAAGTAGTAGCCTACTGCGGGTAAATCTTCTGCTTAGTCAAGGTGAGCTTTGGAATTTGTAGGGATAGAGACGGAGCACATGTTAAAAATTTTCAATGAAGTTTTGATATAAGATTTATAAATCTAGATAATTTATTCTGAGAGACCCAGCATATATATATATATATATATATATATATATATATATATATATATTAAATACTAAGTAATTATACATTAAATTTCTGTAAAATAAAAATTTACTTAATCAAAGAAATGAAATAGCTATTTTTTGTAGACACTGTCAAATATTTTCCTTAAATAATGTTAATTATGAAAAGAGATGAAAGATGAAACATACATATTTATACTTGATCTTTGATTAATCATTTTTTTATAATAATTAAGAAAATAAAATACAATTGTGCCAGTTGTTTAAATTTGCTCAAGTTCATTGAAATAGTTCATTCTGGCACACTATTCTTTAATATATTTTTATCTGATGTCACTGTCATGTTTAGAAGAAACTATTTCATGTTAGTAGTTTTTATTCAAGCTATGGGTTAAGTAGCAGGACCCTATAAACCATGGTTGGTAACTCGTCAACCGCAGAAAAGAAAGCGTAGCTTACTGCGAGTAATTTCCTAGTGAGTCAGGAATCGAAAAAGACGACTACCCAAAGCTGTATCACGTATTGGACTTGACTTCCGTTAAACAAGGCTGATAAAATACTTTCGTTTATATAATTATATATAATATCGTTGGACACAACGCCACTAGCCTGTCAAGTCGACCGACACTATATCACACTGACCAGAGTTCAATACGGACACATTTAAACCGAATGAAATTGCATAAGCCTCGATACGCAACATAGTCGTCGAAAACATGAATGTAATACGTACAACTACGAAAAGCGTTAAAAATGATAAAAAAAGTCCTTATTCTATAAAAAAAGAAACCAATCCTAAATAACATCAGTTATTCGAACATAAAGCATATGGATACTTTTAGTAAATTTGATACTGTTTACAATAGCATTTACACATGTATTATAGTAGTGCAAGAGAAATCATTGAAAATAGCTGATATTTTATTTGAAACACTCGGAATTAAAAAGAACAACTTTTGTACAATTTTTATACTCATCGAATTTAGAAAAGTAAACGCTTGTAGGTAAAATATAATGGAAAACAAAAACATCTTGTTAGAGTTGTTTAATGAAACATGTATATTTATTATCTTACTTGGGCGAGAAAAGTGTGAGAAAGACATGAAATATCACGAACAGGTGAGGGGTGGAGAAAATAAAAACCCGGGGAGATAGACAAAAAATAAGGAATAAAATGTTAAGAAAAAAAAAAAAAGAGTTAATGAATTCTATGAGGTGTGTGAAAAAAGGTTTCAGTGCTCTCTTTTGTGAAGATTGCACATTTGTATAACTTTTTTTTTTTGTTTTTAAATAAAACACAGTGGCGAGTTCTGCACACAACGAATAGAATTCTGCAAATAGAAAAATAAAAAAAATAAAAGAAAGATACTTCTTTTTATTTTTGATTCTTTTATTTCGAACGCACAAAAATGACTTCATGAAACAGGAACATATATTTTGACAGGATTTAAATTTTAATCAAATTTAATTTAACAAAGACGAAAACAGATTCAAGTATATACATGGAGCGATTAGATCACAAAATATATTTAAAAACGTGTTAAAATTCAATAAAAAAATAATTAAAATCTGCTAATAATTTCTGTAATTTCAATTTATGTGAGGTTCTTTCAAGTAAGGAATAATTAAAAATAAGAATTATTCCCCCGAAATAACTGAAAATATCCTTACCTATAATAATGATTGTTTGCTATTCGGGCCAGTAGACGATTTTTGGTTGTTATACTCGCAACGTTTAGGCCGTTCCACTCTCCGTCTGTGTTTGTACTTGAAAATTTTTTTCGGAATTTCAAATCGAACTCTTTATATATTCTCATCGTCTTTTTTGAGTGTAGGGGATTCAATATCAGTTAATTTAATACTTACCAGTTTTATCCAGTTTTGTTCAACCTTTCAGCCCGTTCAACTTAATGAGACTATATAACATTTTAGCGCTACCAGGTCCTCATTTACTAGTCAACCAAATATAATTTTTTAACCAACACTTTAATCCAATTTTTTAACCAACATATTGATCTACTTTTTTACCAACATTTTAACCTACGTTTTTTAACTATTGCTTAATCTCAATCTAATATTTATTATATCATTTGTTAGATCAAAATTAACGGAAACAAAAAAACAGATAAAAGTGTATATAACTCCATAATACTGCTGAGCATAAATTATAAGACAAAAATGTTTTAAATTTGCATATGTTGTTGAAAATTACACTAAAATATATTGTACTTTATAACATATTACATCATAAAATAGCTAAATTGTTCACTTTTAAGTAAATGAAGGTTTTATTTAGTAATAATGTGCTTGTGCTCTGCATCTTGTCCATATAAAATTTGTAAAGCTTCAATAAATTATAAATTTTATAAGACTGGACTATAAGGCTTTCACTGATCACCGGAGTAAAATTGCAACGTTGCGATTTTGAATCTAAACGTAATCTCTAAACTCGTTTCCTCAAAAAACGGTAACGATTTTGAAAGAAATATTTTGTGTCATTATTTATCATCTGAAATCCCAACTTTCAAATTCAGTGCAATACCACAATTCTAAAATCGACCTGTCCTAATGTATATATATTTGAAAGAAAACTATTCACATATTTATAAAACTTAAATGCGACTGATTAGGCAGCGACCCATATACTCATGACCTAATTTAGAAAAGAAGTTAATTATGGTCTTAATTGTGAGTTGACTTTTCAGTGATGACCATAAAAGGTGAAAGGAGATGGAGATTTTGCATTACGCGTATTTTCTTTCCAAGAAGATGTTACCAACTGGCCAGGTGACATGTTTTTGCGCTTCTATCGAGATTCTCAGGTGACACATTCCTTACATTTTCATATGTGCAAAAGTTATAAGTTTGTAAGGCTGCAGACTACTGTGGGCTGTTTTTTAAACAATCATCATTGTATTAAGAAACAAGCTGAAAACGAACAGCAAGACTATACCAAAACTATCTATATATAAAATTCCATAACTTCCGTTAGTCTGTCTGTTCGTCCGTCATATACTCTAAAATTCTGGGGAGAAGTGCAAACAGCTACAAAGTAAAATTGGTTTTACTAAGATGCGTATTATAGTACAATAAATGTTCATTATTTTTTGGAACAATTAAAAAAAATTATTTGACATACAAAATACTATCACTATTTAAAAAAAAAAACACAATTTAATGATTAAAATAACAAATACGTATTTCATAAAAATGAAATATCGTTTTTTGCATATCTTTTCTTTAAGTTTTTATAAGAATCCAGTTTTGCAGTTTGCCCTGCGTTTGCGAGAACTATAAACAAATCAGAAGGACAAAGGGTTCAAAAAGTTAGAATTTGGCTCCAGAAAATATTTACACATGGCCAGTAGTATGTTGCATGCTCAAGAGTAAGGAATCCTAAGAACTTATTCTTCGCTGTTAAAAAAGGTTAAAAAGAAATTTTCTTAAAAAATATTTTTTACCATGAAATTCTATAGAATTAAAGAATTTATTAAACTGTGAGGTAGGGTTTTTGTCAAAGTATTTAACCAAACAAATCAGCTTATTCTAATTTCATCGATTGGTTTGCGAAATTGAACGAGACATAGAGTTTGCAAATCTCGACCAAAAATGCTAGCAATAATTTTACCAATACTAAATATTGTGAGGAAAAAAAAAAAATTCTAGTATCTCATATGTCTATCTGCACAAAATTGTTAACTATTACTATTATTAGTATTTCTTTCTTCTTCATTTTTATGAGATAAGAGTTTTATTCATGATTATTAAAATTTAGTGAATAATTTATTTATTTTTTATCTGAATTCTTCTTTGCTTTTTATCGCAACTTTAATCCGTCCATCTACAGAGAGATATTTACTCTTTTTTACTCCCTCGAGTAGAAAGTAAATATAATCAAAATTACTAATAATGTTTTACAATGCCTCATTTGATAAAAAATAAAATAAATATGGTACAACTTCTCAAGTTTGTTCCATTAGTTTCGAGTACAGTGAAGAATAAACTGAAGAATGAACTGAGAGATTTACTGCTGTTCAGCGACATCAACGATTGGATTTCTCCAAAATTGCTTGCATTGAATCTTAACGGTTTTTTAAAAAGCTAAAAACACAAAGTAAATGAAACTGAAAACAACGTACGGCTGCTAAGATTGAATACGATTGGTAATTGTTCGGGATTTTCGCAGTCCATTTCCACAAATGGGTCATTCATATATCGGACTTGTAAATGGGAAACGTTGCACAGCACCGGAGTAAACCAGACGATGTTTCGTATGATTACAGAATTGATCTGGTAAAAAAAAAAAAAAATCAAATAAAACAGTATATGAGTAAATTTTGAAGAAACAAAAAAACACAACTTATGTGTAAGTAAAGAAATAGTCATCGGCAAGTAAAGATTTTTCTTTCTTTTTATGTGTCGTATCCTTTCAGTACGTAGGCAATCATGGCTCTCTCCACCTTCCTCTATCTCTTGCAGCTCTCAACAAGTTCCCTTCCTCTGCTACCTCCCCCAGACCACGTTCTGTCCGCCAGGTATGTCACACGTTGTTTTCCCTTGTCTCTCTTTCCCTCTATTCGACCCGTGAGTACCAGATTCTCCAGACCCTCCTTCCTCATTATGCGTCCCAGAAACTTCAGCTGCCTCTTCCTGATATTAAGTATAAGCCTCCTCCTTGTTGGCATCCTCTCTAAGACCTCATCGTTGCTCACACACTTGGCCCATGATATCCTTAGCATCCTTCTGTAGAACCACATCTCTGTCACCTCGAGTCTCTTCTTCATCTTTGTGGAAATCGTCCAACATTCGCTGGCGTAAAGAATGACAGATGTCACATAACAGCTCAGTATTCTTTTCTTTGTTACCAAAGAAATCCACCTGTCTCGCAATACTCTGCCCAGCTTTTGGAATGTGTCCTTGGCTATCCCCAATACGTCTACGGATCTCAGTGTCACACTTACCGTCCTCTGTCAGAACGCTTCCCAGGTATTTAAACTTTGGCGTCTGCTTGATTCAACCCGCAAATCGTATTTCGGCTCATTTTATTTACTGATGATCATGCACTTTGTCTTCTTGTAGTTTATGCTTAGTGCCTTCTTCACACTCTCCGTCGCTACCTTCTGTAGGAGATTTTGTAATTTATTTTCCTTGTCTGCTGTCAGTACTGTGTCATCTGCGTATCTTATGTTGGTAAGATTGTGGCCGCCAATGCTAATGAAAAAAAGATTCAGTGACCAGAATTTAAATTTCTGCTAAATCTATTGCGTTCACTTTCACACAAATTCTTTTTGGAAAATTGTGAATCCGCATCTTTCTCGCTTTTAGTTTATGGGCCAAATAGCAAGGTAGATTGAATTCTTGAGTCTTGGTGGCAGCCAGTCTATGACAATTTTTAACTTAAAATCCTAGAGAAGACAATAGGAAACAACTCCATCTTTTCCAAGAAGTCATGCTAATTTCCAGTCAATAAAGAAACGAAATCTGTGGAGAGCAATGATCGCTTACGTCATAAAGAGAGTGACAATTAAAAATAATGGAACCGTACCCTCCCATATTTGAATAAGCAAATGCTTGCACATACTTAGTACAAACACACACAGATACTCTCACACTTAACACATATTCTTAATTTTCATTAATGACCTTCCTTCTGACATAACTTTTCAACTTGGTATCTATGTTGATGGTAAAACCATTTTCTCCTGTTTCAATGGTAAATCTGATCACTTCGATAAGGTCAAATTGACAGCTGATCTAAAAAAAATGACCAACTGTCTGTTGTTAACTGGGGCAAGGAATGGCTTGTTAATTTTAACGCCACCAAAACGAAACTTTTCTCTATCAATCACATGAGAAACACCTTCCTGCCTCCAATCAGCATGGCTGATACTAACCTCCATGAGTATGACTCGTATCTTCACGGGTTTACATTCTCGATTGGCATAAATTGGAAAGATTACATGGAATCCATTGCTCGGTCTGCTGCTAAAAAAGTTCGTTCACTGTGTTGTGCTAGACAATTTTATCTCTTGAATCTATCATCTACCATTCGTCCATGTCTTGAATATTGTTGTTACATATAGGCCGGTGCTCCTGCCAGAGATTCTTGATAAAATCCAAAGAAGAATCAGCAATATTATTGGTCCTGATCTGGCATCAATTTCTCTATAGCTTCCCTGTGGTTTTTCTATAAATACTTTCATAGCAATTGTTTGGATGAAATCTTCGCTACAGTACCTAGACTAATTGAATTTAAACGTAATATATTACAAATGCAGCAAAGTGCTATCAATTTACAGTTGATGCGGCCGTAAGTTCTATGCTGAGAGTCTCTTTTCGCTTACTTCTTGCTTATGGAACTATCTTCCGGTCTCATGCTCAATCATCATTATTATTTTCTTAGATACTCTTCTATTGTCCTCGTTTCTTCATTATCTTTCCCCTTCTTATTCTTTCTTTTGTCTTAATGGCTTTATTGCCTTGTTTGGGTGAAATGATTAAAAATATAAATATCAGCATACACGTAGTCCACATACATATATATATATACACGCAAGCATTGAGTATGAATGCAAACAAAGGAAATGTACCTTACGTATGGGAATAGTTTGAAATAGTGCGCAATGATTAGTTTTCACTATTATTGCTATTATGGCTTTGTAGCTTTGTAGGACTAACACATGTTTGATCATCAGTTAGATGTCACACTATTAAGGCCCTGTGCCATGTTTAGCCAATTAGATATGTAAATAAATATACGATATATATAAGCAAGAGAAGTCCTAGATTCAGCGGAATTTATGTGGAAATCGGTTGTTATATCGAGAAAAAGATCTTTTGCATCGGCAAGTGACTATTCTTTGGACCAAAATCAAAGCCCACACTTTCAGATGGCGAGTTTCAAGGCAGGCAGACTCTCCTGACTTGGAAGGCTTTTTATTTATTTATCTATGTTGTTGTTCATCCAATGCAAGGCCCAAGTGCCACTCAAGGTAGAATCGTATTATTTTATGTTCGTAAGAATTGTAATTTTTGTTTGAATTTCTGGGATGAGGGGTTATTATTTACATTATTTACAAGCGGTGTAGTAATGAATAACGGCTCAGAATGGGAAATCTGAGAGCTGAGTTCGAATTGCACTCGGGTTCTTACGTTCACTTACACGCAAATACTCTTTGGAAAGATATGAATGCAACTATTCTCCACTAGCTATGGGGTGAATATCAGGAGAGAATCGGCATTATAGCCTTCTTTGGCAACCAGTCTATCGCTGAAAGAAATGCCAACCTGTTGTGAGAAAATCTACTGCTTCATCAGTTATGAGATATGATCTCTCAAGCCTGTATCACATAAGACACAACTCACTGACAAAGCGGGCTATCAACTTCTTCTTGTTATCACAACGTTTCGACCGTTGTGCTCTACACCCTTCATCAGGTGTATGTCGATCCGGGTAACTTACATGGATTTCATTTTTTTAATCCACGGGTGTAACCCGTTCTCCTTCAATTACACATGTTTTTTTTTTTTATTATTTTTAGTACTGTTCGATTATAGCTCGCCTTGTTTTCACTGAGTACAGATTGTTCGGCCAAGGGATTAAACTCATAATTACTATGATACCAAATTTATAAACATTCTGAAATAATTGCATCTATTAACGATTGTTGAACATTTACGGAGACCAAAAAGTGAATCTGTACACAGTGAGGCGGTGGATAATGCATGCTGATAGTTGCAACAACAATATGTGCGAAAATTTGAACGGCCCTGTACAGCGGAAGAATAAATCCTGGTAGGACTTCTAATTCTTTTAGCATCGTCTCGATGTATATGTTAAATAAGTCCGGTGACAAAAAGCATCCTTGTCTTCGCATTCTATTTTTGTGTTAATAAATCCTAGTAGGACTCCTAGCTATCTTCGGCTCATTTCGTTCTATAGGTTAAATAAATCCAGTGAGAAAATGCATCTTTGTATTCCCGCTCTATTTTTATGTATTGATAAATCCTGGTAGGAGTCCTACTTATATTAGGGTCGACTCGTTGTATAGTTTAAATAAATCCAGCGTAGAAAAGCATCCTTTTCCTACCCAAGTTTCTGTATATTGGCATAACATGTTTCCTACACGCATTCAGGAGATTTTACCAGTATATTGTGCGGATTAACTTACATGTCTGTAATCGTAAATTATAAAAGATTTATAATAATAATAATAATAATAATAATAATATTTCGTATATGATTAATATAAGTAAAATAGACTTACCTGTGCAGGATAAAGATGAATCTTTAAATATCCACTTGAAGGAAAACTTATGTTATCTTTTAATTGGAGAGAGTAAGAGTTCTTTACGTAATTCAGATGAAAATATCGATCGTAGCTTGCGTTTGGCAACACAGAAAAAGCAGCTGTAATGTAAAAGGATGGCGTTTTTAAACCATATTTATTATGAAAAAGGAAACACAACAATTTAACAATAACATTTTTAAATGTTTATTCCGGAGAGTATGATTATCGACACGCATTTTTATAACCTGAAAATAAAATATTTTTAGTAAATAAAAATAGCAATTTCTATTAACAAATAACTCGCCTGATAATTATGCACCAACCCCTATATATATATATATATATATATATATATATATTGAGAGAGAGAGAGAGAGAGAGAGAGAGGGGGAGAGGATGGATAAACTGACGTCTAAATTATGCAAAAATGAAATTAACACTCATATCTCATTTTAATAGATATATTTACCAAAATTAGGCAAACATATCTTGAAATACAAAAGAGTTAATTTAATCAATAAAATAACCATTGGCTTTAATCACGGCCTTGAAACGACTTCGGAATCTCCTGCAACTCTTCTGGAAAGTCTCCTTGTTTAAGTTGGGGATTGCTCCCATAATCCTTGCCTTCAATTCATCTTTGGTGTTACAAGGAGTTTTGTTGTTCTCTCGATTTGGTGCACCCCACATATAATAATCAAGGGGGTGTCAGTCATGGAGTTAGGTGGCCAGATGTAAAGAGTGATATAGTTGCAGAAATTGTCTGACAGCCATGACTGGGTTCTCAGAGTCCTGTTGTCAGACATAGGGTCTTCCAGCAGCTACCCTCTTGACCCAAGGCACTGAGGCCCTCACCAACAAATTCGGAAATTGTTTTTTTATCAGAACGAGCAGAGTGAATTTTCCGAGCTGCCGTACCTTCGTAATCACCATTAGACTCATACAACTCTTTCCGAATATTCTGCATTGTCCTCAGGTTGACACACAGACACTGTGAAATGTTCATATTGGAGCTCCTGGCGCGAATGTCAAGCAGAACAGCATGCCGTTTCCAAATTTCTGGTGGAATGAATTGCGTCATAGTGCTCTTTTTCTCACAAACGGTGCCTAACTAACATTACTATATTGTGCAGTCGACAAAATCAATCACAAGTAAAGTGCATGCGCGAAATTAAAAATATAAAATGACGACAATTTACTCATCGCACTCTGTATATAAATGTATATATGTATATAAACATACATATATAAACCATATAATCATGATGAAAGTTAATATTAAGCTAATAAGGAATTGCGTATCTCGTCCATTGTACCGCCTGAGGATTGTGGGACAACTGCAGAACCTTCAAGTCCTGGAAATGCAGTAATATCTGAGTATTTTCTTTATATTGTACAGTATATTATAACACACACACACACACACACACACACACACACATATATATATATATATCACTACTGGGATATATATATATATATATATATATATATATATATATATATATATATATATATATATATATATATCAGTGGTGATTGAGTTAGCATTCAAGTATATCGATTTCAAAGCAACAAAAATCTTTCGTAGTGCGTCGTTATCTTTCTTGACTTCAGCTGGATCCAAAATTAATTGTTTTAACTCCATGCCTCAAAATATTGACCGAAATACATTTTGTTGATATTGTTCATAATATAGAAGAAATAATAAAAAACAAACAAAGTAAGTAAAAAAAAAGAATGAAACAAGATCAATGTGACTAGGTCAGGTCGCGTAGATCTAAGCCCTGTCAAGCTGGAAACATACTTAATAGGTAATGTATTTCTTGTTTTAATTTTATAAATAATCTTTTTAAAATCTCTAATGACTTATATGTCCTGTTTTTCAAAGATCACGTTTTTATTTCAACTTATTTTTTTTAAATACGTATATCTATTTTAAATAATTTGTTCCTTATAGCATAATGTTTTTAACACAATATATCGATTGAAAAATTAATCCCGACTTAAGTCGGCGAAAATCAAAGCAAGTGGCAGCCTTAACTCGTCGACTGAAGGGCTGTGCTGAGGAATGTGACTGGGGTAGTGTTAAGGAAATACGATATAAGCCAGCAGTACTGATCATAAACGTACATTAAATTAAACTAATAATTCACAGATACAGAGATACATAAACAGACTAACGCATATATATATATATATATATATATATATATATATATATATATATATATATATAATTATAAATTAATTGATTTAAAATATGTTTTTTCGCTACACAGTTAAAAAACCCGAAAATCTTTAAATTTAAAAATGACGTTGAAATTTTTTACCGTTAACAATTTAAAAAAAAATTCAGACGACATCCATTCAACTGATGTCAGGTTTCATTGTAAAATACATCCCTACCTCTTACCAAATTGTAGCTAATAACTGATACAATGATACTGACATAAGGAAAATCTAGACATGCCTTGTTCAATTTAAGTAGAATATTCTGTAACCATGGAAACGTGATTTTAGCTGTGTCTTTAAAAAACCCGGTAATTTTAAAAGTTACTCCAAAAATTCGCTTGAAGATGAAATGGAACTAATGCTTTTAATTTAATTGCAAAATTAAATTCGGGGTTTTTAGCTTCTATTTTTGAAACATGGTTGGAACTGTGTAGCGAAAAAAAACATATTTTAAATCAATTAATTTATAATATTAATGCTCTGTAAATTTACATTGAGCACTATTTTGTAAAAATAAAAATATCTATAAGAACACCGTATTTTATATCTTACTGTTCTTTTCTTTTTTATTTATATAGATATATATAAATATATATATATATATATATATATATATATATATATATATATATATATATAGAGAGAGAGAGAGAGAGAGAGAGAGAGAGACACACACACATTTCAGATAGATACATACGTATTTAAAAAATATCTGGTTTGAGATTTTTAGAAATTATGTATTTTAGAGTAAATGAATCATTTTAGCATCTAAGTTATACCTATAGTATATTTTGCTAAAGATTGTAATAAGCCCGACAAACATTGATAACCTAGCGTCTTATAATAAATGTATGTAATAATCTTTTTTTCTGTTTTTTCTTGCTTTCTCGCATGCTATTTTTAGATTTGGGTCTAAGTTATTGAAATAAGAGCCTATTCCATGGTAATGCGTTTCCTATCAAGATAAAGTTTGGGAAAAAAACTACATCATAAATCACGAAAAGCGTACTTACAAACAAATGGGCCAATTGGGATGGTTGTAAAAAACCCATTTCTTGGTCGTATAATTTTATTGACAGTAATATTGAAGTCCGGTATCTTCACAGAAACCATGTGAGTGCTTGAGTTTAAAGGAATCAACAACTGAAAAAGAAGAAAGAATATACAGAGTGATTGAAAAGTAACTCCATACTTTATATATAAGTGGCCGGCCATTAGTCAGGACCCTATGACATTTTTCTTTGGAATTGGTTAAAGGAGCAAGTCTATTATACCAAATCATGACTTTGGAAAAACCTGAAGGGCGAATACAAGAAGTCATGTCTTCCATACCACAAAAGTTCCTGATGGAATCAGTTAATGCGATTCCTGGGAGGCTCAAGAAGCCGGTAGAAAAATCTGGTTTTAAATAAAACCTCATGCTAAACGCTTTTCTATCATATCTACTTCTTGTTAAAATTATAATTAATAAATAAATTATAACTATTTTAAAATGGGGATTTACTTTTCAATCACTATCTATTTAGGAGCTTCTCCACCAAATCAGTTGAATTTTTTGAAACATTTTGTCTTTGTCATATGGCATATCAATCACATAATTATCGAATGATTTTATTGGGTTTTCTATTCGGAATGCCTAAGATAAAAACATTTTCATATTTACTGTGGCCTTTGAAACAGTCTTTTTATCTCAGTGAGAGGAAAATGAAAGAAAGAAGAAAAAAATATACAGTCACCGTGAAGGGCAAATAAACAAAATGAATCAACATGTGGCAACTTGTATACGTAAGGGTACATATTTACACTATTTAAATTGATCGGATTGTTATCCTCATCGTTGTTGACATGTTCAAGACATATCAGCCGTTGTCAGGTGACTGGAATTTCGAAACGAACCTTTTATTTAGTTCACGGGTGTAGGTTGTTCTAGTTCCTTGTGCCACGCCTCTACTTCAAGGACACATTGCCCAGTGTATAAAAGCGTTGGTAATCCAATGAATTGACCAAAAGAGTTGTGATTTCAGTATCTTGCTACAGAAGAGGTGAACAAAAACTTCGAGTGTTGAGTTAAAGTGAAATAACTGATACTGAGATATGCAGAAGAGGCATGGCATGTGGAACTAGAACACTCTCGTTTTCGAAATTCCAATCACCTGAAGATGACCGGGGCGTATAACGGCCGAAACGTCATGAATATGCAAATAAAGTTGAGGATGATAGTCCAAACATTATAAATCGTGTCAATATAGACAGATATGGTAAAGTTACATTTCATAATTTGCATAGATGCGTGAATATATCTGGGTCTTCAATAGTAGACAGCTAATCAATAATTATTAGTGTACTATGTCCTACCGTAAAAGATTTTTCAGTTTTAAGTCAGTCACATTCATATTTTGATTCTAGATTTAAATACCCTACTTATGAAATATTTACAGCCTTCTCATTGTAAACAGAGTCACTGTTAGGTCTCAATGTAATCTCTCTGTGCTATACATGCATTAAGGTTATTTCTTTTCGTAAAATAATTGATTTCCTATATAATAATTCGATTAACTTTTGCTAGAAAATGATGAAGATGGGTTTAATTCAGTTTATTTTTTAACAAAAATGTCACCCCAACACAATTGTATATAAGTATATATTTATTATTGCAAAATACACTAATTGTAGCACATGGCCCAAAATGGTCATCATTAACTATTTTATACCCAGCTAATAATACATCTATTAAAAGAAAACATCCTTTGCCTTTTGCTCTTAAATATACCACAATACCACATACACACACACAAAAATAAACCCTATAACTTAAAAATTTCTTATGTACAAATTTGCTTTATACAAATGTTCGTAAAATATACATTTACATGAAAATCTGAAGATGACATGAAATGCGGGGGTGGGGTCTAAATCCCAATTCCAAACAAAATATAACAAATGTAAAACGAAAAATAACAGATGTTAGTAGGACCCGTCCAAGGGCTTAAATACGGTATAATGCCAAAATTATGGGGCACCCAGTGAGGATCAAACTCACTCGTAATGGATTTAGCAAGACAAGATTTCTAACCATTACACCAGGTCGAGGTGCCCAAAATTTATATATAATTATAGTAGTACTATGACTTTCTGCAGCCTTCTAGAACTTTCTGGAAACTTCTAGAACTTTCTATAAGCTTCTAAAATTCCTGGAGCATTCTAGAAACTTCTGTGACATTCTAGAACTTATTTTAGTTTATTTGTACGGTTTAATATTTAGGATGTAGCTATAAACTGTTAAATGCGTTAAAAATACATTAGTATTATCAAATTAGAGTGTTTTCACATCAGTTTGTTGAAAGTTTCGCTGGATATTCTGTGAAGTAAGTGTCATTTTTGTTTGCAATCGTCTTTTGCATCTATTATTGTCTTTATTCTTGCCTTTATCGTCTAAATTCCGCCTTTTGTTGATATTGTTTTGAATTGTGTGTGCGATGGTCGAGGGTATGCCAACATCATGGCGGAACCCGAATCTCCTAATGCCTCGCCTACTTTCAGCGTCGGCAAAGGATAGGCCCTCAAAAAAAAGAGCCAGTATATTATATAAAAAAAGAAAAAACAAAAAACAAGGACAAATTTGAACCATTTGTTAAAGGAAACGAATTACTATCGGTACCGTCTCTGCTGGATACAGTAAACACTCGTACAATTTCTTTATTAACAACGGACCCCAAAACTTTGGAATTAATTACAATGAATAGAGACATGATGGAGAAGGCGTTGAAAAGCCTTCAAATATCAATGAAAATTTTGTCAAGAAGGTAGATACAGCTAAATGATTGGCAGGATGTATTCTGAGTACTACTACAGTCAGGCTACAGACCGAATAATTGGGAACAAGAAAAGCGAAGGTGATTCTACATAGATTCCCCCTATTCATATCCGAAGATCATCTCAGCTTTTTCTTTTCGCAGTATAGGGACATCCCCCCTATTAAAAGTCAGTCAGACACAGACGATTTTGAAATAACTATTACTTTAAACAGAAAACAGTTTATAGAAATGCCCAACACGTTAATGTGTGGAGGAAGACTGATTTATGTCGTTGTTTTGGGCCGTCGACCACTTTGTTGGGCTTGTGGGGCCGCGGGGCATTTATCGAAGGTTTGCCCGGGACAAAATCCAGAACCACAACTCAAAAAAGAAAAGTGAGGAAAAACCGACAATAGCACAGACAATAACATACACGGGGACGGAAGTCGTAAAGAAGGGATCCAAAGTGACCACCACTTCCCTTCAGCAGCAGCAGAATGAGAAACCCTAACTTGAGCAGGAAGACCAGTAGGGGGGGGAGGAAAATACAGTAGAAGCAGGAATGAAGGAGAAAAAGGGGAGAGAGGAAGTAGAAGAAGAAAAAGAGGAAAAAATCTCGAAAAAGCATACGCGAACTGGCAAAAGTAGGGTCGAAGTAGCAAAAAAAAAAAAAAAAAAAGATACAATCAATCAAAACCCATGCTCAGTCCGTCCTGGCTTCGTCAGTCAAGAAACAAGTAGAAACAAGGAGGATCCCATCTTCCCCTCTGAAAACACCACTGCCTCCCTGTTCCCAATACCCCTTCTCCCAAAACTACTTCTTCCAAAACTCCTTCTCCCAAAACACCGCTTCCCAATTGCAGTAGACATTTCCACTACTCCCAACACCCCCTTTTCCACCAGCACAACGCCCTGTGACTCCCCAACGCCCAGCATCTCCCACCAAAGTTCTTCTCATAAGTAAAAATTCCCGAGGGGGGTAAGATCGTGTCAAATAGACAAGCGGACAATAGAAAGCGACATTTCAACTCAAAAGTGAGCGCTGTTAAAACCCTTATTGAAAATAACGTCAGTAGACAAGAGCTCTATAAAGGACCCTCGAAATTTCCCCAAGGCTGTTGGGGTAATAACTTGGATTAGGAAGACAGGTAGAAATCTTACAGTATGGGATCATCTGCAGGAAACAAAGGATGCTTTCTGGAGATCCGTAAAGTGGAAATAGGAATTCCGAAATTGAAAAAGCTACAGAAATATTGTGCGGGGATTGTCCCAGTAATCCTCCATCTTTCAATATATAGGACCTTAAAACTGACCTATACCGCGGATGTCGACAGCATTATCCCGGATGGACCCTGACAACAGATATGGGGACAGGAAACCTAGGACATACTGTCGGGTTCTTTTCATCCGCAGATTTCCGTTCAGTCTGAGGGTAGGGGAATGAACTTGAAAAATGTTCCTCAAGATAACTAGTTTGAATGCGAGGGGCTTGAGGGATCTGTGTAAGGGCGCCTGCCCGCTTCGTGATATCCAGTCCTTCGGCGTAGATGCGATCCAGGAAACGCACTTTGCGAGGTTGATACTCGTGTGCTGTCTAGCGACTATGTTGTCTATTCAGCATACGTGGACCAGCTGGCTAGAGGCTAGAGGTGTTTCCTTGTTGGTTAAACGTGTGCCGTTGCATCTGAACGTGAACCTTGTCTATGTCGATACGGTGCGGTTGTTCGTGGCCTATATTGCCGTGGACAGTAGTTCGTTGTGGTTTATGCGCTCAACGATCAGGGTGGGGGGTGCGTGTCTCGTTTTTTTTCCGGCGGTAGGGGGTAGGGGCCGTTCCTGGTTGATTCTTCACGCTTAGTGGGGGACTGGAATGCCATCCTAAACCCCAAGATAGACAGGAGGCAGGGAGATAGTGGGAGGTAATTGTGTGATCTGATCGGTGAGTTTGGTGTTGCCGATAGATACGGGTTGATCACCCTGGGCGGGAGATTTGGATGTGGACTCATAAGTGGCCGTCTACCCAGTTAGAATGCTAGTGAGAAAGGCCGATAGAGACATGCTAAATTGTCCCGCGTTCCACTGGTTAGGCTATTCGGACCATAGACTTGTCTGTGCCCGGATAATGTTAGAATGGCTGAACACAAGAAGTTCACACTGTCTTTACTGGACAGGAGGCTAATTAGACTAGTGCAGTGGGAGTAGGTAGTGAGAGAGGCTTAAGGATAGGATTAGATACTTCACCACCTAATATAGCCAGCGGCTCGCACTATAGCATTTCAAGTTCAAGTTGGGAATAATCAAATTCAATACTAAACAATTTCAAGTTAGACTAACCAATTTCAAATTGATACTAAACAGTTTCAAGTTGGCAAATATAATTTTCAACAAAACAAATGAGGTATAACAATGAAACTGAGCAAGCAAATATTTATTGTTACTAACTCATGAATTATGGGATATCAATTTACTCGCGCATGTCAAAAATTCATATCCTTAAGATCCAAGGCTGGCTGTATAAATCCCTGATCATGTGCCAGTAGAGCAGTACATTTAGGCAGGGTTAGGTTCACTGCGAAATTCAGTTTGTGTTGCATTTCCCCGTCAAGGAAGCTTTAAAATTACCTCAGATTTTACACCAGTCTTAAGAATTGACCATGCGATCGTATTCATCATCGGACTATATGGTCCGAGGCGTAAGAAGTGATAATGGACAAATTCAGGTTCCAGAAATACGTTTTCCAACGAAGCATGGCAAGAGATATTGTCAGCTACCAATAGCACAGCTGACTGCTATCTGTCGTGGGCCCGTTGTAAACAATGTCTCTCAAAATCTTCAACTTGTTCTTTTTGGAATGACGGATTTCAAGATAGATTAATCCAAGGCTACTGATCCCTCCAATGACAGGAATATTTGCCCTGCAAGTTTCGGCGGTGACTTCAGTGCAATGACTCCACTTCCTTGATCGCCCTTCCGTACGATAAATATACCAATTAAAAATTTGTTTCATCAATGTAGACAACTGGAATATTCTTGGCCTGGCATCGTAGAAGCTCCTGGACCTATTGTCGACGTTTGTTTTTTGTTGATATAGCTATTCGCATTCTCCGGCTCATTGTAAACTTTTTTTGAGTTTGAATACGAGTCCGTTCAAATGTTGTCGAACACATTCAGAACTCATAACCATATTGAATCTCTGCTCTATCTGCTTCAACGTTATTCGTCGGTGCTCCTCCACACTCTCTTCAATAAAAGCACCAATTTTAGAACACCGCAATCCACCATGTTGCTTTTCAGGTTCATCACGTGTAGTTACCCATCGGTATGCTGTGGATATATTTTTTTTAATTCCAAGTCTGTCTGCAAGACTTCGCCAGTCTCTATTAGTATCGTATGCTACTCTTATTTGCTACTTCAAATCAACCGCCTGGACTTTCTTAATATAATTACCATATCGATTATCAACAGCTGCCATGACAATCGTTTCAGATGAGGAAGAGGAGCGAAGAATGAAATATTTTATATGTTAAAGAAAACCACGTGATTGTGATTAATTTAATAAATATGCATATATGGTGTGTTTAACTGATGATGCATGTCGTGAATTATTATTTTGGACATTTGCATTTACACCTGGGTGGTACCAACTTGAAATTGTTTAGTCTCAATTTGAAATTGATTAGTCCAACATTGAATTTGATTAATCTAACTTGAACTCGATTATTCCCAACTTAAACTTGAAATGTTAAAGGTAAGTGTAAAAAGGTGAAGACACTTAAAGATAGTCTGTCCCGGGCGTAGGCTGGGGTGGGGGACTCCCTAGAGATAGGTTTAGCTAGGCAGGTTCTGTAGCGCGCGGCTAGCGAGCGCTACCAGGGTCAGGTAGTTAGACATAGGTTAAAAAAGATGTTTAATGAAGCCGTGAACATAGGCGAACAACTGCGCAAAGAAGAGAGATCCATTGAGGTTGCGATTGTTGCATCCGTGAGATTGAATAGTTTATCCCTTGTTTTCTCTTTAGGATTTCGTTTCTGTTTCCTTCTGTTTCTCTTTCAATTCTAGTGGCTCCTTGGCGGCATTATTACGTTGCTTGGAGATGGGCCTCTTGTGCCTGTACTGGATGAAATTCATTGTAATGTAACATCCTAAAGAAATCTAACAATAGAAAAGAGCGTTTCAGCTTTAACCCCAGATGCTAGTGTACGGATGATGAAGGGAGCTATTCTAATGACATTGATCTTCATATTTGGGATAAAAATGAACAAAGAAAAATCAACATCCTCTACAAGTTGTTAATAGAAATAGGACTCAAGATAAACTTTTCAAAAAAAAAAAAAAAAAAGAAAAGAAAAAAAAGCTATGATCTGGAATTGGAATGAAAGCAGTGAAAACACGTACCATGAATCCATCATAAAAATTCGGTATGTGAAATTAGTAAATACTAAATACTTCAAATACCTCGGTGTATGGATTAGTTATTTAACAGATTAGCCTTTGAGATAAGGAGATTTATGTGCTGTGCTAGAGATAGCTTTGCATAACACAGCTAGTTGTTGCAAAGGCAAAAACATTAACTTTAAAACTCTAGTCATATTCTTAAAAGACTTTCATACAATGCCATGCATGACATCAAAATCATTCAGGGATATGGAAACTGTCAACCGCTTTCTCAGATCAATCGTTAATTAAAATTGGCATCGGATAAATGAAGCATGAAACTCTTAGCGATGACCATCCTTCTATTGCCCTCGTTAACTGGCGCTACACAATTAGAAAGAACTGTATCAAATAAGAAAACTGCGTCACTTGAGGATTTCATATGTAACTCGAAGAAAAAATAATGGAATAATAAAGATGTTTACGTTCGACATTAAATTAAGCAAAAAGCTAGTAAGGGTGACCCTGTCAACAATAGAAAGAGCGATAACAGCTACTGGACTTGAGAAACCTATTTTCTTTTGAAAAATTGTTTTAAGTGAAAGTTTTTTGAAATTTCAAATGACAATAGCACTTGCTGTTCGGTTACTGAATGTTTCCTTATCATGAAACTGCTAATATTACCATTACCATTACAGATGAGGAGAACAGATGCTACACTTTGATCGTAACTCGATGGTCAGTGAGTGAAGAAAAGCGTAACTCGATTAGCATTAGCTTCTCTGTCAATGAATGCCGAATGTTTCATTATAAGGAAACGGCTAATATTATCATTACTATTCGAGATGAGGGGAACAGATTCTACAGTTTGATCTCAGCTTGAGGGCCAGGAAGTGAAGAAAAGCATTACTTGAGTAGCATTGGCTTCTCTGTCAATGAATGTCGAATGCTTCCTTATAAAGAAACGGCTAATATTACCATTACTATTAAAGATGAGGATAACAGATACTACATATTGGTCCCAGCCCAATGGCCAAGGAATGATGATAAATGTAACTCAATTAGCACTGGTTGCTCGGTCAGCTTATGAATAAACAGATTATGTTACCATTATAATGGTTTCTTGGTTATTTTTTTAACTGATTGATTTCAACTTAGTTGTGAGGAAACATTAAAATTTTTTGAATAAGAAAATGATTGAAATTCATGAAGTAGACTTTATTTGTTCGGAAAATCAAATAAAATCATGATGATCAAACACAAAATATTTCATTCGTTTTGCATATTTCATCGGGAGAGAGAAACTAATATGTAATATAGAAATCATTAGATTATAAGTTGACGCAAATGATAGGAAAGACTGGATGAAAACTTTGTCCGAGGACACCGTAACTTTTAAGCTTGTGAAGAAGCAGTAGATGAAACTATACATATGAAATCCTTCAAAATTGAAAATTATATTTCAAGATATTGATGAAGATAGAAAGAAATGGTCGAAACTTAATGGTAAAATATATGAAATTGGTGACCCTAATTCAAAAAGAAAATAATGAAGTGATTACCTGTTCCATGCCAACCTTAAATCCGGTGTAGCAATATCGACACACACAGTTTTCACATTTTGAAAGCTTATGAAAGTTTTCATTCGTCGGCCATTGTGAAACTTCACACGAGCCAGGGCACGTCAAACCAATTATAAAACAGAGTGACGTATTCATAGTAGCCACTGTTTCATTGCAGCATATTTCTGTAAATAAAGAAAAGATATATATAAGAACTGGTTTCAGATTTGGATCAATTATGGATTAGAATCCGATAGAATAATAGGATCAAAAACAAATAGGAAATGTTCATAAATTTTCTGTCAATGACATATATTTTTTTGTTATCCTATTTTTTACTCTAAGCAAAATTCCATTGCTCCGTGTTCAAAGCTGACATTTTTTTCTTTTTGTCTTCTTTTTAGGTTCCTCATGAATTTTAAGAGTAATGCACTACGTGCAGATTTATTTTGTTAAGTCGTTTTCTGGGATTTTCTGTTATAACTTTTTCTGTTTTTTTTTCTGATATTTACAGTAGCTTGGTATATGATGTTGGTTGGTAGGTAGTTGGCATTAAGTGGACATTCTTATTTTTCTATGCAGTTACAACTGGTTGTTGTCGGTCTGTATGTTGCACTAATCATTTTTCAATTGTGTATTTTATGTTTTCTGAAAGTGGCTTAATGTATACTTTCACCAATTGGTTTTAAGTTGTACTTTCACAAAGTGGCTTTATGATCACTTTCATAGGGTGGCTTTAGGTTCATTTTCATAAAGTGAATTTATGTTCACTTTCACAAAGTGGCTTATTGTTTGCTTGCACAAAATGGCATTATGTTCATTTCATCGAAAAGGCTTGGGACATTGTGAAATGTGAGAAAGTGGATTCCACGTGACCCATCAGCAGTGAATCACAAACAACATGTTGATTGTTGTGCATCATTGCATTCCCTTCAGCTTCAAGTGTCTTTTTTTGTATAGAGTCATTACCAAGGATAAGAAGAGGGTCCTTTGTTATAGTGTTATGTGGAGGCATCGGTAGTTTATCCATGGCGGTCGGCCTGCTCAAAACACAAGAATAGGACTGTATCCTAGAAAATATTCTTCTGAGTTTACGGTAGAATATACATGGAATAATTTCTTATGAGCTGTTAAATAATAATCACACCCGAAGTCTACTGACGACAGTTAAAGAATTAAAAAGTAGAAAAACGTTCATCTTAAGCGAACAGAATAGTGTTCATCTTTCGCCATGATAACACATGAACAGAACGAATGACTAATTATCTCATGAAAGAAATCAGCTGCACAAAATATGATGCTTTATCCACCATAGACATTCGCGTTTTTAAAAATTTCCAACTTGCTTAGAAATTTGCTAAGCCATTTGGATGAACTTATCTAAATTTAAGAGAAGTGGTCGACAATGAATTAGTCTATTATTTCCGATCAAAACCTGTGATGAGTACGAAATAATAATAACTTCCTTTACTCAATCCCTTCAAATTTGCGCGAGCTTGTGTAAAATTATCCTTATAACAGCTTTGACTTTCCAGGGACTGGCTGGCAAGCCGAGAGAAAAAAAAATCTGTGAGCCCATATGCAATTTTCTTTAGACCAATGAAAACCTTGAACCGATATCAAGTGAAATATGTTCTATTTTACAGTCCAGTCAAAAGGCATGCATAGGTCTACTTTACACTAGCGGTAAAAAGATACAAAATAGGCCCGATTTAAACTAGAGCAGAAAATGTAGACATAGATCTGATTTACATTAGAAAAAAGTAATAGGTTAGATTTATAGTAGAATAAAGCAGGTACACATAGATCCTATTTACACTAAAATAAAAAAAGCTTAGACATAGGTCTAATTTACTTTAGAATAAAAATGGAAGACATAGGATTGATGTGCGCTAGAAGGAAAAGGTTGAAATAGGTTCAATTTACACTACAATAAAAAGGTATACATAGGTCCAATTTTCGGTAGAATAAATAAGATATACATTGGTCTGATTTACACTTGAATAAAAAGGTAGATCTAGGTCTGATTTACACTGAATAAAAAAGATAGACTTTGAATAAAAAGGGTAGGCATAGGTTTGATTTACACTAGAATAAATAAATGAACCTAAGTGCGATTTACATTAGAATAAATAAATGGACCTAAGTGCGATTTACATTAGAATAAATAAATGGACCTAAGTGCGATTTACATTAGAATAAAAGAGGTCGGATTTACACGAGAGTAAAAAATGTAGATATCGGTCCGACTGACATCAGTATAAGAATGTAGTAATGGGTAAGAGTACCGATAGTAAGAAAAGACGGGAAGATTTGCAGGATCACATTTGGAGATATGAATTAAGAAGACGGACTATGGCTTCGTTGTCATATTTAGTGGGTCCAATGATCTAAAAGATTTTTTAACGTAGCCTTTGTAAGGCTAATTCTTTAGAGGGGCTCCTTTTTACAGGGGCTATTTTTTACAGGGGCTCCTTTTTAACCAAGAAATTAACGTTTTGCTTTGATTCATAGATTCATGAATAAATGTAGGACTTTGAAGAAATTATCACCCTTTGCAAAAATTAAAAAAGATATTTCTCAGAGTTTTTTTCTTCTTACCTGAAGATGTCGCTGTAGCTATGAACGTCAAATTTTGGTCTTTCAAATCTAATACAAACGTAGTCGTTTCATTTGGTCGTAGATTGATGATATGTGAATTTGTCCCGTTGCTAAAGACACTATGCGTCCTACTTTTGAGTATATAAAGAGACAATTCTGTGTAATTTAAAACTTTAAAGTTGAAGTATGCTTTGCATCCATAGACGGTTAACAGAGAAGCAGATGCTGGAAGTATATTTTGAAAAAAGACATTCAAACAGTGATTAAAATTCATACAGGGAACAGTACACAAAAATACTTTTATAAAAATTAGAAAATACTATATATAAATGTAGAAATTGCTGTATACAGAATTTCTCATTCGTCCGATAAGTCGGTGTCTGTTTTTGTCTAGTGGCTCATCACTACTTCTATGGGTTATTAATTGCCAGAATTTAAATATTTTTTACGCAATTATTCAAATCCAGAAAATATTTTTAGATTATAGCAAATTTTTGTTAGATATTAATGGTTACAGTTATACATGTGTTCCGAAATAAGCCATAACTGGGAGAGAAGAGGTGAATTCATGCCTTTCTCTAGGAAATTTACGCTTAACTGAATGTAATAAACCAAACTGGAATTGGAACACGGCTCTCTGATTAACAATTCTAATCCATTATACCACCCGCCCATCCAAGCATGCAGTATTCGCATTTGGTTACCCATCTAGACTCGATCAGATTCGATGTTGCTTAACTTCGTTGATAGTATAGGAAACGGTATTTCACTGTGATGTAGGCGTAATTCCCAGTACATGCTGGCAACTTATTTATCATAAAACAAGTTTCTAAAATGACTGAATCAATAACATTTATAGTGAACTGCTAAAATTCGCCTAGATTCTACTTATAAACTTTCAAAAAGAACAATTTTCAAGCGATTGCCTTCATTATTGCTGTTTGTTATAAACTCTAGCCAAAATCTGACCCTACCAGTTTGGCCATGGAGAGCAAGGTTTGAATTATCTATTTAAGGAAAGTACATTACTAGTTGGGACTTCGTTCGGATGCAAAACTGAAGGTAGCATGTTCATTACAGTTCAAAAGTTTGAAGCCACCCCCAGGAATTAGCATGGGACAAACTTAACAAAAGAGTGAAAAAAAAAATTCTTAGAGTTATTGAAAAACAATGGAATCTCTTATCAAACTCATACTTTGAGAAACTTTTGAAACGAATGCCAAAAATTTGTGCTGCAGTAATCAAGGTTAAACGAGGATATTTTGACGAGAGCTAAATTTAATCATAAATTTTTTTTTTCTTTTTGTCATAATAAAATTTCTAATAAAAAGTCATGTCATTTTTTAACCATTTATTATAATTTTCTATTATTTAAAGTACAAAACAACTACTTGGGCCAATTAAAAAATTACCAGGGATGTCCTCAAACTTTTTACTGTAGTGTATGCATACATAATCGTATGGAACTGATGTAGAAGACATCAATATAAATCAGAAATCAAACCATAAAATATATGATAGGAATGAGCAAGGGAAAAATAGAGCTGAGTGCAACACATATCAAGAAGGATAACAGGTGAAGTAAAAGGTTGCTTATTTGGTGCTCAATGACTGGAAAACAAACGAATCGAAAAAAGAGGAACAGAGAATGACGAGTGATTTACTGGTAAGACATAATAGATAACAGCACAGTTACACACGTCACGGAAGGAATTAGGAAATGTTTTATCTAGTATTGGTTTCTGGCAATGATAATATATAGAGTAAAATTAATTTAACATCAATATGGCCCAATAATTACACAACTGAAAGATTATCTTTTTTTGGAGTTTATATTTGGGAACCCCTGTTTACATTTTTTAAATAAATCATTTCATCTCAAGCAAGGGAATAAAGGCACTAAGACGTAAGGGGAGAGGTACTGGGTGTTAGATTGATTTATTGATTTTTTACGGCTTATTTTGCGGGTTCAATACTGACTGTTCTTTCTCTTGTACTTCTCGCTTGTGGAACACTCTTCCGGCTTCTTGCTTTCCAGTCAAGTTTGATCTTCGAAAATTGAAATGCATTGTCAATCGTTATTTTCTGTCTTTTATTTCCTGTTCATTTATTGTTCTCCCTCGATAATTTATCATATTCTCTAACACTCAGTATCTCGTTTTGTCCTAGTGGCTTTATTACCCTTCTTGGGGTGAAACGATAAAAAAGTAAAGAAACATAAGTCTAGTTTATATACGAGTAAAAAATATAGACATAGGTCTAAAACTAGAGTCAGATAGGTAGATAGAGGTCCGGTTTAAAAAGGTGGAAATAGAGGCTTAATTATTCAACGTTTCTGTATTGTCTGAAGTCATAAGATAATGTTTCCAAGAATAAATTCTGCTTATTAAAGCTTTTCGGTCAATATATTCTCCGACCTTGCATGTTTTGTGAAGCCCACCAGATTCAACATGTATCTGAATGGGAGCAAACCGGAGAATATAACGATGAAAACCTCGGGTTAAAACAAGAAATACGAAAGTAGTAAGCCGAAAAAATATATGCATAATAGAATTATTTGATACAAAACCGTCAGGACAGAGAAAAAATTACAAGTATAGTCTACTGTTAAATTTGTTATAATCTAAGAAGGGTACTACTTTGGCTTGTTATCTACGTGTCATGAATCTTTTAGTAACTACACGTCACATTGCTATCATAGTCATGAAACTACTTTGGTATGCTATCTACACGTTATAGTGCGATCTACGTGCCTAGCTTTTATTTGAAATGCGATCTTCACGCCTAGCATTTTCAGCCGATGTACGGTTTTATCACTATAATATTATTAATAGAAAATGTAATATTTTAATTACATTGTATATATTTATGTATATGTGTGTGCCTTATTATGTTTTCAGTTATGTGCCATGCGTGATACACGCTCAGGCTATCATGTATCTTTCGATACATGACTGATGAGGCAGATTTTTCCAGCAGTAGGTTGCCAATTCTTTCTGAGGTAGATCAGTTCTGCATATGAAGAGGATTCATACTTTTCCCAATGGTATTAGCACATAAGTGAATGTAATGGATCTTACTGGAATTCGAACTCGGCTCTCCGATTCCTCAGGCCGAGCCGCTATCCATTACTCCACATGTTTTACTATGTAGATATAACTACAAATTAAAATTTGTACGTTTTAGACATTTTTAGGCGATATACATGCTGTTTATCGCGAGAATATAAATAAAGAATTTTTTTTTAATATTTTAATTACATTTTCTTTCTATATATGTTATAATATTTTAGTAGGTATATATCATTCCAAAATAAAATTTTCACGGCATTTTTTCTTTGTAGATAACAATCAAAATAGCCCCCAAAAATAAGGATAAAATATATAATTTAAAAGTGAGAAATATTAGAAATGAATCAGTTAAATCTGATAAATACACACTGTCTCGCAGGAAGGTGCACTCAACTACTAAGGATGGGGTTTTCTTTACCTTACATGATAATACAGCCATGTATGAGGAGTCTTTTTCCCAAACTACAAATATAGTAGAATTAACCAAAATATTTCATTCATATTGAAAAACAGATTTTTTTTTTTGAATTTGTGGAATCTGTGGCCTCAAAATACTAAGAAATTTCACTGTCCGTTCTTCCGTGAGAGGACCAGTTTATATTTCAACACTACCTGACTCAAGAATTGAACTCATTATTTCCTCGGAATTGAATAAGCTTTTATAGTCCGACATCGTTAATATCACACTCCATGGTTATAGAAACTCCTACGGTGGACTATTTTTTTTTTTTTTATCCGCTGTCATTAGTTCGTTGAGCGGCTACAAGAGTAGAGCCCCACATTGTTTACAACATTTGCGGTAACCGACAGGAGCAGAGTGTTTTAGTGATACGTTCTTGTTTATTTGTTTTATATAGTTGCATATTTACCCTATCAAGATAGTAAGTACATGGTGGTCTAAAAGTATTGAAATCCTTGGCAAAAAGGTTTCATCAATTAACATTTGAATTAGATGTAACCATGAGTTCTATGCTGATAGTTTCTTTCCGTGTACTCTCATCTGAGATTCGTGTTTTCCAGCCAACTTTGATCCTCAAAAAATTAAATGCAATGTCAATCGCTATATATATTGTTCTTATTACTCTTCTATTCGTCTCACTCCCTAATATTTCTCTTCTTTCTTGTTCCCATATCCCCTTGTGAATTTACTGCTTTGCATGCAGTGATACGATTTATATATATATATATATATATATATATATATATATATATATATATATATATATATATATAGATAGATAGATAGATAGATAGATAGATAATAAATCCTAATGAACCAGGTACTACATACCTAGGTTTTACCACATAGGATCATAAGGGAGCCAGTTCACCCTGATGATCCCTTGTAGTGAAACATGGTACCTGGCTCATTAGGATTTATTTATTTTACTTTTTCTCTACTTAGTGTATTGAGCACTCTTCGGTTTAACTTATTACTCGTTGAGTTTTTTTTTTCTTTGTACCAGAGAATTAAGGTACTGGACGATTTCTTTCGCCCTCTTCAGAGGTTTCTGGTGCTTTTTCTTTTATGCCAATTTATTTTAAAATTGTGCTATCCAGGTTTTTCACCCACCTAGTTTAAATAGATTATATATATATATATATATATATATATATATATATATATATATATATATATATAATGATAACAGACGTTTCGTGGCGATTTACTTTATCGACCGACTTTTTAAAATTACGAATAACGCTTTCCAGATAAGGAGGAAATTCTTCAGAAATTGTCCAAAGTTAATTTTGGAAGAAATATGGTCAGAGGTTTTAATTTTGATCTTCAGTCAACTTTGATCCTCAAAAATTTAAATGCAATGTCAATCGTTATCTACTCTTTTATTGTTCTCACTGCTCCTATTTCTTATTCTTGCACACTCAGTAACCCCTTTGTGTCTTAGTGGCTTTATTGCCTTGCATTGTGTGATTTAAAAAATTGTCTCTTAGTATGGTCTTTCACATAGTATAAAAATAATTAATATATTAGTAATTTTCTTCTTACCTGTCATATTAGCAGTAATAGTTCTTCTATACGCGCTATCTGGAATACCCGCATACACGGCAGATAGGGTAAAAGAAATCTTTCCCCTCACTGTTAGATCCTTTATATACATTCGATTCCCCATCATTTGTAAACCAGCTGAAATATAAAACAATTTTTAGCGATCAATTTTATTTAGAAACCAATATAATGACAATATTATTTATGAAATAAAAGTAAATGGGATCGCCTGTCGCCAGGTTCACACTCCTCCTTTGTCTTTTGCACTATACCCGGTCTTTTGGTCTATTCTTTCTTTGCTGTTTAGGATTGGGTTTCCGGTTCCTTGTAATGTCATTTCATTCTCTTTCGTAATAGTAGTCACTTGACTGTTAGGTGCATTACTGCCTTGCATGGGTTGAATTAATTAATATATATTTTTTTTTTCGTATAAGGACTGGTTAGGGTTAGAAACAAACATATATATCTATTATATACGTATATGAAATAATTCATATAATATATACATACATTTGTATATATGAGAAAGTGCTGAAAGCTTCACGGCCCAAATTAAATGTTCTGGTGTTTGTCATTAAAATAATGAATTTAGAAAATTTATTGGACTGAGAACTTTTCAACAATGGGAGTAGATCAGTCTTTTGAACAGTTTTTACCTCTTGTTCCTGTTTAGAATATGGGTTTCTGGTTCCTTCACTTTTGTTCTCAGTAGCTCCTTGAATCTTAGTGGCATTATCACCTTGCTTGGAGTGAAATGATTAAAAATAATTAGGGACAAATCATAGAAATATTCATTTTTAGTGGCAATTGATTTGTTATAATAATACTTGGAGGGCAACTATCATTAATGTTATGATAATTTACCCACTCACTTATGAACTCTCCCAGCTATAAATAGGAGAGGGAAGTTTCCAGCAGTCAGCTCTGACAGTCGAACCGAACATTCTTGCTGTAACACTCGTTTGTATATGTTTGTATTACGGTTTCTGTTAATATATTTGTTTAACTCAATTCCTTTCTTGTGTCTTTATTTCTGACCCTTAACAAGGCCACATCAATTACATAGATATGCGGTTCCTTGTGCTTATCCTAGCCTTCATAATAATCTACTTGGACTTTTTAGTTAGTTCTTGTTCCGTCCAGTGCTACAAACAGCTGTCTATGTCTGAACACATGCTGCAATTTGAAAAAAAGAAATCTTCATTATCAAAACAGCCTAATCACTGTATATAAAAATATTAACGGGGCATCGTTATTAAAATCGGGATATTGACAAGAATTTTGCAATTCCGACAAGATTAGCTGTCAATTGATATTCACTGTGAGCGACCTAATATTTGTAGTTTGTCTGAAAAAATTTAGAATGGTTCTGCACATTTGTTGGAGATTCGGAGATAGTCGGAAAATCCAATGACATACAAATAATAAGAAACAATACTGAAGCGAGTGCAGCATTACTGAGGAGACGTCAGACACTACTGGTGTAAATAGAATAGCAACAATTTAGTAGTTAAATCTTTACCAGTTAAGTACCACACCCGGTTTAGTAATATATTGTGGCTTTGTGTTTGATATTGACAAAAAAATACACTTTGTCTTATCATCTTCACTTTAGTTTCGGATATTATACATCCAACAAACACACACACGCGCTCACTCACACACACACACACACACACACACACACGCACACACATATATATATATATATATATATATATATCATGGGTTGGCTTCGCAAAACGAGCATCACGAGGAAGTCTGTACACATCGCTTGTAAGCACGTTTGTGACTGATAAGTCCAATGCGAGACAGGCATACACGGTCGTTGCAGCTAAAAGTCTGGCCTGGGCTCTCGATTGCATAGCATTGCAGTACATCCTCCTTTGCCTCTTGTGCCTGAGAGCGGCCCTTCAGGTATTTTCACATTTTAGGAAAGCATGGTTGGTGACGCCAGCTAGGATTGACCATTGGTGATGATTAATGTGACAGGCAACAAAGGATTTTTATCAGGCAATTTTTGAATCGCTTCTTTGGTGCCCGTCTGCCATGATAGCCTGTGGAGAGCTCGCTGTACAATAACATGTTAGGCAGGCGATAATTCTCCATCCTGGAAACATGTCCAGCGCAGCTGCGACTTCAGCAGCATGGCTTCAATGCTGGTAATTTTTGCCTTTTCAACTACTTCAGTATTGGAGACGAAGTGTATATTAAGGACCATGCGGAGGCAGCGCTGGTGGAACCGTTCGAGGAGATGTTTCCTCTGGCATCTTCATATTAGTATGGTTATGGTTGATTTGTGATTGGAAGTGATTTTTGAAACCAGGATATTTCTTCTGTTTGGGTTTTGCTTTTGCTTTTCTCTACATAAACCTCTTGTGATTCATTGATTCCAGAAGATTTTGTTTTCTCAGAACATTCACTAGTTTCTTTTTCTCAATTTTCTTCATTAACTGTTTAGTGTTTTCCCTTCTGTATATTAGGATTGTTACAAACATAGATTAAAGAAATATTAGAAATGGTGAAACGGTTAAAATGTAAGAAATGTGAGACACAGAAGTGTCCATTTGTAATTTCATCATCATCATCATCATCATCATCATCATCATCATCATCATCATCATCATCAATCCCACGGCTGGGCCTGGTCTTAGCGTTGCTGCGTAGTTGAGTTCTTGATCAACTCCCTCTACATATCTCTATAGGTATTCCTTCATATGCAGTGTATCTTCTTTTTCTTTTTTAAAAAAAAAAATCAGTTCACCTCAAAAAGGCGATCATGCCACTTAGACGCAAGTGGCTACTGTTCAACAGAACCGAGAGGAATGTCTTTGACAAAGTAGACGTGGCAGAACCTAACCGTATTCAGGTCGGACCACTACCCATTGTGCTCCAATTTGAAGGCCCGCCTTTGTCACGGATCGTAGATTTCATCGAGGGACCGCATCGCCCTGGCCGTGTCTTCAGTCTCGATGATTTTGTGTATAGTCATTAATTCAATCCCATGTGCTCATTTATCTTCCAGTCGATAGGCACTTGCTATGCTTACCGTCTCTCGGTTAAACTCATCCCTGGCGTGAGCATAGGAACCACTACATATGGAGTTATCCGCATAGTTCAGTGCCAGATGCTGTCCGTAAAATCGATTGTGCATTTGTACAAATGTAATTGAAAATTACAACAAAAAGGTTAAAAGATATAAAATTACTCACAGCTGGACACATTGTAGATGATTGGTTTTCGTATTCCTTGCAGACATTTTAGCTCTAGAATAGGGTCACTCAAGAATGACACGTATAAACTGTGGAGGTTGCAAATGATTTGAGAATACCACATGATTTTATACTCCATTACACTGATGGTATTTTCATTCAGCTGTGAAAATAAAAAATAACAGCGACTAAGTTTCCATTTTAATAATTACAGCATAAAAGATTAAGATTGTTATCTATCATTACATGGCATACGCTAATTATTTTTATGGCATAGTCCACAATGGCGTAGGCGATCAAAGATCTCCATAGACTTATTTTCTTGGCAAAAGCATGAGTTTCGTACCCCCCCCCAAAAAAAAAATAAAACTGAGCGTTAAATGGACGGGTTTTCCCATGACACCGCTTTTATTTTACCTATCATTCTTCGGTATATTTATATTTAAAAAAACAAAACAAAACAATGATTAGATTTGTAATAAAAACAAAACATATGGAAGTGATTTTATACACTTTTTGGCCTGGAGAATTGAAAACCAAAATAATAAACAATGTATATTTATTAGATTGTTTACTTACACTCTTTATTAATTATATTGTTTATTGGAATGGTTGGCAAACATCGGATAATAATTGCCAGTTGATTCGAATTTTATAAAATGATAAATAGTAAGGGTTTTATTATAGTTGGTTTAAATATTTTAATAATTTTATGTTTATAAATTTATGAATACACAATTGTTTATAAATTTATGAATACACAACTGTTTTCATATTTATTTCTTTATAGATTAGTAGATGATGAATATTATACTGCATTAGTCAAAATACACTTATATAATAGTTTTTTAGAATATTGTAAATATAAAATTATTGTTGTAAATAAACAATCTAATAAATAAATAAATAGTGTTTAATATTTTTTCTGTAAAGTCTCAAGAACAAAAAACGTATGCATTCACTTTCATCAAATGTTTAGTTTTTATTACAATTCTAATCATCACTTTTAAAAAACAATAAACACTGAATAAGTGAGAATGTAGTTAAAATAATAGCGGTGTCAAGGGAAAAACCGTTCTTTTGACACTCCGTTTTTTTTTTTGTTGTTTTTTTGCGGGTCCGTTTTCTTTATTATGTGTGAATTGCTATAACTTTTTGAAAAAAGAGTGAAGTGGGTTTATACCGTTGAAACACCGGTTCTCACACGATCAACGAAGGTAAAGAACGTCGTGCTTGGTCAGTATCAAGACGGGTGACCGGTTGGAAATACCAGGTGCTGTAAGTTTGCACGAGGTGGTGGCGTATGATTATACTTCGTAATAGGAAATTGGTGATCTAAGTCGGGTTCAAGTCGGGCTCGTTATATTCACTTACGCACAAATAGCCTCGGAAAAGGTACGAATCCATTTTTTCTTCTCCCAATTACGGGTTAAATATTAGGACTGTTATGAGTAAATCATTATTATCTACAAAAAACTCTTACAGTTTAAAAATATTTTCTGGTTTAAAATAATCTGCAAAAGATAGATAAGCCGTTAAAAACATATCGATTAAATCAAGAGTGGTTTCATAGATTATACAGAATCATTTGATATAGTATGACACAAAGCCCTAATCGAAATCGTAGTAAAATTCGATTTAGATGAGAAAGAGTAAGATGCACCTTCTATATGGAACAAACATCATGCGCACCAATAGGGAAAAGGTTCAGTGAAATAGACAAAGATATAATAACAAGGTTGTGTATTCTCACCTGTTTCATTCACCCTATTTAATGAGACGGTTCTAACAGAATTACCAGGCCTACCTTGATTTACCAAGGTCTATTATTAGCAGTTTTGATATTAGCAATATAAAATATGTGGATGACAACTATGTTGAGGACAGACTCGGAAAGGAAAACTGAAAGAACTCATTGACAAAGTGTAGAGGAATTAGCATGCAAAAAGCGAAGAAATAAACAATCTTCAAAGACAAGCTCTATGACTTCAAATAAACCTTATTATCGAGTATTTTTTTCTTTCAAGTTGAAAGAAACGAATTACAAAAATCCTCGCAAAATAAATCCCCACAAAATATTTTTGTTTTTGTTCTTTACAACACAATAAATAGAGTTAGTATGATAGAAGAAACAAAATGTGTCTACAACGGGAGAGTGTTATGTATTTACGTTGTTTTATGAATGTGTGTAATTTTCTAGCAGGAGCATTAGCAGTTAGCACACGGAAAATCTATATTATAACTACTACTAACATTTCTTTACGAAAATTATTTAAATTGTGCTTAATTTACTTTAAAGTCGCTAGGATTTCTAAGAACTTTATCGAATGAAATATGTGAAAAAATAAGGTAATTAATTATATGAAAGGTTTGAGAATTCAGCTTGTCCACAACAATGAGCAACCAACCCTGGTAAAAGGTTTACGGAAAAAATGGAAAACTGAAGGCTAACTTTGTTAATTTACGCGATCTTATTTATAGAGAGAAATACGCCCCAGGGAGTTAAAAGTTAGATTTTACTAAACTCAGATGTTTATTGGTTAATAAATATTTTTCCCAATTTTTATCTATTTTTAGGAGGGAAAATATTATTGATCATTTTCTAGAGCGAGCTCTCAAATTTCGTAGCAGACAACAAACATGGTTGTTTGATTTTTGAAGGGCTTCAACGCGTTTGAAATAACGTCGCTGATTAAAGCGAATATGGGCATTCAAATCGGAACCTACATTTTGCACAAAAAAGAGTCGACTTCTGTGGGATCCAGTTTTTGCACAGAATTGAAATTTTTAATGATAGTACTTAAATCGATTGAAGTGTTCTATAATTTTTAACGGGGTTCTACAATTGGAAAGAAGGGCTAATTAGTAACAAGTACGAATACAGAATGTTTAGTCGTCAACAAAAGAGACGTCACAAGATTTGAGTTACGCATTGGGGACGACCAAATCAAGCAGATACAGAAAGTGAATTATTTGGGTAGTGTTGTGAGATTTGAAGTGACAGAAATGTGATTCTACAGAGGGATGCTGAGAATACCATGGATCGAGAACGAAGTTTTAGAGAAAATAGAAACAAAAAGGACACTTATATTTAACATCAGAAAGAAACAGTTAACGTTACTAGGGCACTTAATGAGGAAAGAAGGCTTGAAAAATTTGATACTCACGGGACATATTGAAGGTAAGAGGGGTAGAGGAGAACAACGGATGATCTACCTAGCGAGTTTGAGTAAAGGGAGGGCGGAGCAAGGTTTAGGAGTGATGACGAAAAGACAAGATTTGTTAAGAGCTACAAAATAAAGGAATGGGCACAGTACATGGAAGAAGAAGAATTAATGTTTTCAGATAAAGATGGTCAGAAAACGCATCGGTTGAAAAATAATTAGACAGTTATTCAATATAATACGCGGGTGAATTACATAATTATTTGCATTATATGTGACAGATATATTAAAATGGTTAATTGTACCGATTTAGGTTGAAAATAAAGTCGAATTTCTCCATTTGGCGGCAAAGTTAAATTCAATTTGCGTTTTATATCAAAAGTCCCTTTTACTGGAACAATTGTGAAATAACGTTGAAGCGGGTCATCTTGTGGAAGAGGGAGCAGATTAACTGGAAGAAAGAAAGAAATCACAAATTTAATGGTAAGTATAACTCATTTCATGTACAATGTCGTAGGCGCTGAAGAAATAGACTTAACAAAACGATACTTAGAGCCACTTCTCACTTAACGGCTTTCCGTTCCAACGACGTAATCGCTAAACGAGCAGAACGCTAAGTGAGAAGTTGCACATGACCACTATTTTAGATATTCCATGCGTGCAGTGGATTTGTGTCAACAAGCATCAAATAGGCCTAATGTTATTTTAGCACCATTTGTAATAATTTTACTTTTATGTTCTGTGTCTCTTCGTCTATCTGATTCTTGTTGCTCCTTACTTAAGTTAAGTTGAGTTAATTCCCATAGACTTAACCCACATATATATATAAACAGATGCAAACTATGCCTGGAAGAAAAAAATTAAAATAATTAAGTACAAAAATACAAGCCAGTTATTGAACCAGGGAAATGAAATTATACTTAAATGTCATCATAAAAATAAGTTTATATAGTCTTAAAAATAGACATTTATTTTGCATCAAACACTGAAAAATATAATTTTCGACGGATTTGCACCAAAATTTACATACACATGCTCCAAGTTAGCGGGAAGGCCAAGACTGACTTTGCATTTTCCAACTCCCATTGATAGTGGAAATAATCGATTTTTCATGCTTCTACGGCAGTTTTCTTGTAGTTTGCGGCCATTTTCTACTGGCCAGAGTGAGAGCTGGCTGCCACGAATAGGCAGGAAGATTCTATTGGCCAGCATGAGAGCCATGACCGACACGAATGTTAACTAGCATGCAAAATCGATAGCTGAATTCGTCACAAGTGGGAAAAATTTAAATCTGCATGGCACTTTACTCCAATTGGCTCATTCGTTGATTCTGATTCCGCAGAACTGGGTGGGGTGTGAAAAAGTATTTGTTGTTAACATTCTTTTTTCATTCAGTTTTTTCAGTTACGAGTCCTTTTTTAAAGCTGATCGTTTTGTGTTCATTTTGTTTAGTTCTTTTTTCGTAACAGATTTAATGTTTAGTATAGAACTTAGAAAAAATTCGCAGTGTGAGATAGGCAAGAAGTAAGGCATGTAGCAACATCAGCATGGCTAAGCGCACTCCTTTAAAGGCAAGGAAGGGCAAAAATATTTTAAGTCATGTGATAGCGATTGCTGTATGATTCGTACGATTTTTGAATCAAGCACAGGCAACGCCGGGCCTTGCTGCTAGTCATTGTTAAATACAAATACATCGCTCAAAGATTTGTGATAAAGAAATCGTAAAATAATAATATAATTCATATAAGTGCCAACCCTTGAGCTGGAGCCCAAAAGCATATAGCCTAGTGTATAGGTCAAGATAAGCTATATAAAATACATTGGAAACTAAAACAATTCACAATATTATATAGTAACGGTTAGTCAACCTAGAGCGGTCAAGTCCATTATCAAAAGGTTTACGATTATAATGCCAATTTGAGAGGAACCATAGCAAATCATTAACATAGAAAGTATACTAAAATATACTCACCAGTATTAGATAACAGGGGAAGTCGGTAAGTTATTTGAATTTTGTTAAAGGGCAGAATAATTTCAGTGGTATTCTTATCAACAGGCACAAGAGGTATTTCAAGCAAGTGCGAGTGATTATTTAAGGGAAGTATAAGCTGAAACAGAAAAAAACATTATAGGAATCAATATATTGGCATTTAATTTCTGTTCAAGTTAAATATTAGTATCAAAAATATAATTATTTTATTATAAGCCTTGTGTATAAGTCAGCTCTTGATTGTAAGCCAAAAAATTATTAATTCTCGCGTATATTTCTATAAATTCGTTTACAAGTTAGTGTCGTATATAGGACAACTATTATTCCCTGATAGTAGGCACGGTGGAGTAATGGATAACGGCACGGAACGTGGAATCGGAGAACCGAGTTCAAATTCCAGTTGAATCCATTACATTCATTTACGTGCTAATACCTTTGGGAAACGTATCCTCTTATTCTCGCTACAGCTATGACAGGACCAAGCGGGTTCTATAGCCTTGGATGGCAACTGATCTACCGCAGAAAGGAATGGCAACCTACTGCGGGAAAAAATCTGCGTCGTCGAAACGCACATAAAATAAAACTGTATTATTCTCTGGTAAAGAAGTTAATTTACAATGTCTGGTGTATAGATCCACCCGTGCTTTGAAACCAGTAAATCAACAATTTAATATGTACTTCGACCTATGATTTTAATTTGCGATATGCTATCGAGCCGTGTTTATAGATAGAGAAATTATTAATTTACGATATACTTCGTGTATAGGTCGAGTCGTGTTTTAGGATAGAGAGATCATAAATTTACGATATGCTTTGTGTATACGTGGAGCCGTGTTTTTAGATGGATAAATCATTAATTTACGATATGCTTTGTGTATACGTGGAGCTGTGTTTTTAGATGGATAAATCATAAATTTACGATATACTTCGTGTATAGGTCGAGTCGTGTTTTAGGATAGAGAAATCATTAATTTACGATATGTTTCCTATATTGATCGGGTCGTGTTTTTTAGATAGAAAATCAAATTCACGATAAACTGTGTATAGATCTAACCGTACTTTTCGACCAAGAAAGCATCAGTTTAAGATGAGCTTATATACAGTTCGACCTGTGATTTTAGGCTAAGACCTCATTAAGGTACATTTTTTGTGATTTTTTTTTACTAACGTTCACCCAATATAAAGTCCAAAAAACACACGTAAAAGAGGGTTTTCTGTGTGGTGCTATATGAGAATAAGAAAGGGCAAGAAATGTAGTTGATGAGGCCATACAGGAAAGACAACGGTGAACCCCAGACTTAAAGACGTCAAGTTTGTAGTTATTGGGAAAACATCCTGCCAAGAGCCAGTTCCACAAAGCAGCACTTCTTAGGAAGATGCTGTCCTAATGGAACTTAGTCTTTATTAGTAGAATGCGAACGTAATGGGGATTGTTCACTCTCGTGTAGGTGGCATGGTGGGTCCCAGTTTTAAAGGTCAGGGGTGGTGGTAATAAGGAATGTAGCCCCTCAGAAAATATGCCATGGAAGTAACGATAGGACAATGAGAAGCTTGCAAGCTTTGGTCTGTGATATACGTGTTGTGTTGGGTAAAAAATAAGTCATCATCCACAAGGACGCGTAGACGCTTTTGAATTCTATCAAGAAATGCAAGTGAGGACAGGGCATTTCCAGCCCAGATAAGGCAGCAAAACTCCACTTTTAGTCTTATCTGGCTTTTGCAAAGATACAATATAGCGCTCAGATACTTTCTAGCGCGGTACTATGAACCGACACTTTAGCAATAGATCGGATATATGAGTTTCATTTGAGGCCTGGGGAGAGTTTAAGTCCCAATCGACGTCCAACATAAGAGAGCTCCAGTCCCGACAGACGTTCAAGTGTATCGATTGACCCGTATTTTTAGATAAAGAAATCATTCATTTACGATATACTCCGTATATAGATCGACCGTGATTTTATATAGATCTTAATTTGAAATGTTTTATGTTGAACTAAACTTAATTTCAGGCCAAGTAACCGTTTTGTTATATATCTTATGGACTCTTGATTGTCGGTTCAAATAATATTAATGTTTGTATATTGGTCGTGTAGTCATGACTTGTTAGGAAATATTTTTAATGTACATTTTATATAAGTCGACCCCAGTTTTGCTGAGCAATAGAACAATTAATTGAAATAAGAAAACATCGAGTTTTATAGCAAAATAGATTTCACGAGACTCGCCCTAACGTTAAATTTCTTTACCTTGAAGCACTAACTCAATGAGAAAAACTTAGGCACCATTATTTTATAAAAGTTCGTAGCATTTTTAAGCGAGTTTCAAAAACAATATTTCGATATTTTTACATATTAATATTTCTAAAGAAAGGGATGGATTTTTTATAAATCTATTAATACGACAGGTTTTCTTACTTAAACGTTATTTTTAAAGGAAACTCTTATTTGAACAGACGCTCCGTTTATTCATTAAACAGTAGATTTATTCATGGTAATCGTTCGTATAAGCTCTTCGCTATGGTACCCAGACTTTTAAAATTTAACCACGGTACTAGACTGGCGTCGATCTTTCATCAGTTGACAGTTGACGTGGCTAGATGTAGCCGTAAGTTCTATGCTAACAGTTTCTTTTCTAGCACTTCCAACTTGTGGAACACCCTTCCGGCTCCAGGCTTTCCAGCCAACTTTAATCTGCAAAAATTTAAATGCTATGTCAATCGCTACGAACTGTCCTCCTGATTACACTTTTCTCTTCCCGCTCATTATTAATGTTTCTGTTCCTAATTCTCCCACATTTTGTAACCCCTTGTGTCTTAGCGGCTTTACTGCCTTGCCTGGGGTGATACCGTTTAAAAAAATATTTTCGTTTATCAGCCTGAATCTTATGAGAGAAAAATATGCGTTCACCGGAGAGCGAATATTTTTCTGTCATAAGATTTCAAGCCGGTAGACGAAAATAAATAAATTTACTATTCAATAAATAAACGGGGCGTCTTCTCATACACGAATATCCACTAAAAGGAACGTTTAAGTAATAAAAACAAATTGATATGTAGAAATATCTAATTATCTTTTGATTTATTCAGGAAAAATATGTCATTTTCCTGTGCTCCATTTCGCCCTCTTTGAGGCAGATTTATGGTTGCATCGTCCAAGAAATTGGCATTCTTCTGGGTGATGAAAAGGTATAAGTAGTTTTTACAGGCTTCAAGAGAACTGCAGTGATTCCAATTAAGAGAATTTCGTAAGAATCGAAGTAAGTGGTGATCTAGAATTGCAAGGTCATGTGAGTACGACTAGTGTAGTAGAGTAGTTTTAGGAAAATTCTACCAGTTTCTGCCAGGTCTACAAAGAGATGTGGGGTCTGGCACTGTCCTGATGGAAAACAACACCTTCAGACTGGCCAACTCTTAATAATTTTAATCGCTTGCTGTCGCTAATCGTTCCAATTAGGAACAGTAATTGTCTGAAGGCAACGCCAGATTTTGTAGACGGAGCTCTTCTCACGCAATGCCATTCCAATCCCACCAGACACGCAGCCTAATCTTCTTCGAATGAGTAGATAGGTTCATCTATAATCCGGTTCACACTCCTCCCCGATATTTTGAAAAAGGAGTAGAAGTTTATCCCTTGTTACTTGTTTTGGATTGGATTCCCTGTTCCTTCTATAGTCAATTTCAACTTTATCGTCGGCAACCGCTCACACCTGAGCATCGGGATCGTCATCGCCTCTACCTATTTCCTTTCTCCACCTCAGCCTCCTGGTGGCGGAAGTGACTGTGAATCAGAGAGAGTTTGACGAGATCTTTGGCGTGAATTTGATTTTGGTGGACAACTATGTGCAACGGAGAAGCTTGGCCAGAAGCGCCTCCCTCGTGGTTCAAAGAGGATTGAGACAGACGAGATGTGGCAAACATATTAGCATCGGACTGTCTGATGATCAATGACTACAGGTCTGCTTCGAGATCAATATTTCTACTTCTGAACTTATTGAACCACTTACAAACAGTACTCTCAGCTAGAGCACCCTCTCCATAAACGGTGCATTCATTTTTTGCTGTTTGATCAGCATTTCTTCCTTTCCGGAAATAAACGAGTGTCAAACGACGAAAATTGATATCATTTTTAAGTACCGTATATACTCGCGTATAGTGCGTGTTTTTACGCAAAAAATAGAGGGCTGCACTATACACAAGTAATTTTTTGAAGCGATTAAAAATCATGAATTTTCAGTCACTGGTTGCACTATACATAGGTATAATCTTTTGGAGGGTTTAAAAGTAATGCAAAAAAAATTTCAGGGGCCGCACTATACATGAAGCCGACTTATACACGAATTTATAAGGTTAAAAAAAACTATTTGTTCATGAGGAATTATAATAAATAAAAGAATTTGCCATATGAATAAATAAAAATGAATCGACCCTGATTCTTCACATAAAGCCAAATGTTTACTGATTGGAAAAACATCTGGATTTTACCTGTTGCCATCCTGATTTTCTGCCTATGTAACAGTACTGACATAAACAATTGTTACACTTTGATGTCTTGTAAAATCCTGTGTAGTTTGGCCAGTTGGAAACCAAACATTTATTTGGACAAGTCAAGTTGAATGTGTAGCAATTCGTTGAATTAATCACATTGTCGCTGCAGCATATTTCTGCAAATACATCACGAAAAGAAAAGAAAATGAAACGAAAATACAAAAATGCTTACAGAAAAAGAATAAATTGACTGATTTCCTAATATAGGCGATCATTAGGTTGGTTGCCACAAAAGAGTCTATCAAGCTTTCGATAAGAATAGTGAAGTTCGGGCTGTTTCTTTCGATATCTCCAAAGCGTAGAATTTGGCATACCGGTCTTCTTTACAAGTTGAAAGGTTATGGTATTTCTGGATGAATTTTTGAAACGATTCAGACTTTCTTACCAAATCGCCAAAGCTGAACGCTCACTCTTCTATATCTTTTTGCACTAATGCAGGTGTCCCCCAGATCTCTACCCTTGGAACTACATTGTTTTTAATTTTCATCAGTGACATTCCTGATGGCATCAGTTCTCAACTGGTTATCTATTCTGATGAGACAACTATTTACTCGTCTCGAGAGTAAGTCTGATCAGTTGGGTACCGTCAAATTGGCAGCTGATCGCAGAAATGACCTACAATCTGCTGTTAACTGGAGCAAGGAATTGTTAATTTTAACGACTCCAAGACGAAACTTCGCTCTATTAATCATCTGAGTGACCCCTTTATACCTCCCATTAGCATGACTCGTTACGCTTTCTTGAGTTTAACATTCTCAGCTGACATGAAGTGGAAAAATTATATTGAATCAATTGCTAGGTCTGCTGATAAGAAAGAAGGTTCGCTTTTATATTTAGAGAATCTTGATAAAATCTAAAGACGTATCAGCAATATCATTGGTCCTAAGTTGGTATCTCGGCTTCAGTCACTTTCCTACCGTTGTGATGTAGCTTTCCCGAGATTTTTATTAAAATACTTTCATGGTAATTGTTCCGAGTATCTCTTCGCTATGGTCCCTATGAATTTAAGCGCAGTACTATATATATAGGCCCATCGACGCGGCGTAATGGTAGGCGAGCTCGTCCCGCTAGAACAATTATGACTGACTGAGTAGTGAGTTCGACCCTCACTGGGTGTTCCATACTTTCGGCCTTGTGTCACATCTAAGCTACTTTGGAAAATCACTATATATATATATATATATATAATGAAAAGGCTTAAACACCAATATTAGTGTTTAAGCCTTTTTATAATATCCTTACTCTGTCCTGGACATTGAGTTCTACCTGAATTCTATCCTCTTGGAACTTTTTTTATTCAAAATATATATATATATATGTATGCATCTATGCATATATATTTATATATTTTGCATATGTATGTGTATATTTACCACTAATCTTATATATATATATATATATATATATATATATATATATATATATATATATATATATGTCAGAACACATGGGAAGGAAAAATGGGAAGGAAACAGCATTAGTAGAATAGAATAAAATAAAAATTAAAAAAACAAGCGGAATAAAAAATTGCAATAAATAATCATAAAATGGCATTTTATGTGCATTAAAGAAACTGTTAAAGCTATTTGAAAATAGGAATATTTTAAGAGCTATTGCGCTAATATACTCTAGATAATCTTGCGATTAAGGGACTCTTTAGAAATTTACGTCGTAATGAATTATTTCTCCTTTGATCAGAGTAGCATTTTTTTATGTCGAAGTGGTAGTCAGTTTCGTTACGCAGGGTAAGGAACGTATTTGATACATTATTTGTAAACTGTCATGCAACATTCCACCATTCCTGGCAGATCTTCTAATATCAGTGTGGAATACCTACTTAAAAAATGATGGAAAGAAAACGAAAGACTCTAAATGAATTCGGCTAGATAAAAAAAAAATTTCCCAGCACCCCTCTGTCCTATGTATGTGTAGTCCTATCTAACAAATTTAGTCCAATGAAGTACTGAAGGACGATACCCGTTACAAATAAACTTGTTCCATTTTGTGATACAATTTCCCTAATTCTGTCATATATATATATATATATATATATATATATATATATATATATATATATATATATATGTGTGTGTGTGTGTGTGTGTGTGTGTGTGTGTGTGAAAATTTATAGAAAATAGGAAGGAACTGGTTAGGTAAATAATCCAAAGTCCCTTAGTATTTTAGTTATTATTTTTTAAAAAAATAGTGCTCGATACAAAAGTTGAGCATAAATATAATTATTTATTTAAAATATGATTCCAAAACGCTACATAAGAAGTCTCATGTTTCAAAACAAGGCCGAAAACTTCAATATAATTATTTAAATTAAATTGAGTTAAAATAAAAGCAGAAAGATTCAAGATTCCATAAAAAATTTCTTGAAGATGGAACAGAGCTTATTTTAACTCAATTTTCAAAATAATTATATTGAAGTTTTGGCTTTGTTTTGAAACATGAGACTTATTATGTAGCGTTTTGGAATCATATTTTAAATAAATTATATATATATATATATATATATATATATATATATATATATATATAGTGCTGTTCGATAAAAGTGACTCGCCTTATTTTTTTTACTAAAAATATTTTTTGTCTATTGTTTTGGGGGTTAAAATAATTTTTAATCTTACTAATATAAAGACCCCTTTCCGACCACCTAGGAAAAAAGTTTATTCACCCCAAGGTATTCTATTGATAATTATAATTTTGGATATAAATGAGATTCAGGAAAAAAACTCTGTCCAAAAAAAGTGACTCAGATATCGCATTCTAATGATTAAACTGGTAAATTTAAAGAACTTTTGACAAAATATTGAAAACTATTTTACAATACACTCAGAACAATATTCTAGAGAATTCTAGAACAGCTTAAATTAAATCTAGAGTATTCCAGAATATTCCAGAAAGCCTCATACAGTATAAAAACAGCTTGAAATAGCCACTCAGAACCACTTAAAGCATCTATTACTGCCCTCTCAATAGCAGGCAAGTCTACGAGAGAAATTGCAGAAATTGCTATAACCTCGCAATCAACTGTCTCTCGAGTGCTTATGGCACATAATGATGCCACTCCTGCTCCAAGGAAGGAAACAAGAGGAGGAAAGAAAAATATTGATGATAGAACTTGCAGGGCAATCAAGAGAGGAATTGCGAAGAATAGGACTATAACTAGGCAAAAAATTGCAGCCAGTTTAAGCGAAGAGCAAGGTGTTAGTCTTGCCACTTCAACAGTCCGTCGGTGGCTGTTAGAACAAGGCTACAAATCTTGTATACGAAGGTTTAAGCCGCTAATAAGCAAAGCCAAGAGACTTGAATGGGCTCACTATTACAAAAATTACACCGTAGAAGACTGGAAGAATGTTCTCTTCTCCGATGAAACGAAAGTTGAGCTAAATTCAAAGGATAAGCGATCTAAAATCCGAAGAAGGAGCTTTGAAAGCTCTTTGAATTTAGCAGTAAGTACTGTCAAGCATCCGTTCAGTATAATGTTCTGGGATGCTTTTCTTTTCATGGAACTGGTTTCTTAAAACCTATTGAAAAGACCCTCAGGAGCGAGCAGTACAAGAGAATTTTAGAGTTTTGTCTGCTCCCTTCTGCTGAAGGGTGCAAATCGACTCCACCAAGCTCATTTTTATGCAGGATAATTCTCCCTGTCACAAATCAAAATTGATGAAGGAATACTTTGATGAGAAGCAGGTGAGTGTTATGACATGGCCGCCCCAATCTCCTGACCTCAACCCCATAGAAAACTTATGAAGATGCTTGCTTTCTCGACAGCCTGTACTTATTAAGTACAGGCTCTCGAGAAAGCAGTTGAGCAACAAAGAAGATTTGATTGTGAATTTCATATCGGAATGAGATTTGCCAGAACCTAATCAAGTCAATGCCAAAAAGGGTTGAAAAGGTTATTCAAAATAAAGGGGGACCCATAGATTATTAAATATTTTGAACTATATTACATATTATAAATAAATTATACCTCTATCATTTTTTATTTAAAACTGTTCGTTTATGTTTCTATTGATTACTAGTTGCAGGAAATAAGTGAGTCACTTTTTTTTTTGCACAGAGTTTTTCCCTAAATCTCATTTATATTCAAAATTATAATTATCAGTAGAATATCTTAGGGTGAGTAAACTTTTTTACTAGGTGGTCGGGAAGGGGTCTTTATATTAGTAAGATTAAAAATTAGTTTGACCCCAAAAACGATAGGCGAAAAAAATTTTAAGTAAAAAAATCAGGTGAGTCACTTTTATCGAACAGCGCTGTGTGTGTGTGTGTATATATATATATATATATATATATATATATATATATATATATATATATTATAAAGAGGTAATCGCACAAAGAAATAATCTGCAATGGTAATGTAATTAATAGCGAAATCTTTTCGCTAAAAGGTTTAATAAGACATAAATTTACTAACAATTCATTGGATGACGCGATCCTTATGTTTAAAATTGTAAGATGGATTTGGTGTTGCGAGGCGGCTAGTACTTTTGAAAATATCATATTTTCATCCTCAGGCCGTATTTTTTTAATTTCCAGGTAAACTCCAAGACGAAATAAATTTCAAAATTTTAAATTAGCATTGCTGATTATTTCTTTGTATGATTATCTCCTTATGATATAATATATATACTGCACAATCTATCTATCTATCTATCTATCTATCTATCTATCTGTTTTACTGTTATTTGGGACATTCATGCGGTTGATTTGAGGGTGGTCACACAATCATCAGGCGGTTGAAAGGGACAAGAAACTCAATGTTAACTTTTAGAGATTTAAAATTAAACTGGTAGTCGCGAAAAACATTGAATCAATTGTCTTTTATATATCGTAATTTTGTACATAAATATGCATCTCTGATAAAAAATATTAATACGTATGTTTGGTTTACAACGACGTCGTTGACGAGAAGGCTTCAGTTTCACTTTAATGAGCATAGTTCAATCTCAGAATATTCACAGTTTAGACAGACATTCGTCGAAAATACATCAGTACTTGAAATAATAAGCAAAAACTTTAAATTATGGACGCCCTTTAGATAAATGAATTGCAGCCCAAAATATATAACGTCAACTATGAGTATAGCAAAAAAATTTTTAAATGTTTATATATATATATATATATATAAGTTTTATATAAAATAATAAATTAAAATATAATTAAAAAATCTTTCCCTTTTTGAAAAAAATTACAAAAGTTACCTCCATTGCATAACCGAGAGGAAAAATTTTGAATTTGAAACGCTGTAAACAAACAGTGAAAAATATTTTGAATTTACGGAGCAACTGTCTACACATCCCTGGATATTTTAACCCCCCTGAAGATCGTCTCAGATGAGATTTAAAGTACTTGAGAAAATAAAAATTATTTGAAAGAAAATTTTGGTATTTTTCTTGAACAATTTTCTGCAGTCAACAGGAAATTAATTCGTGGACTTGAAAGGATTAAAACTAAAAAAAAAAATGAACATAATACGTCTAAATTATTTAACCAAACCTGCTTCAGTGAAAATATGCTACCTAAACACACACACACACACACACACACACATATATATATATATATATATATATATATATATATATATATATATATATATATATATATATCTCATTAACTATTGTTTCCAACGTGATAAACAACGAAATACAATTTTAACACGTATTTTTCACGGAAAATGTCGGAACGGAAAGGACAAGCTGAATAACTCTTAAATGTTCAGTAACTCGGTATGACAATAAATCCGGTAGCAAAGTTTTGATCAGGAGGTTTTTAGGAGCGTGAAAACACCTCTTAATTGCTGCTGTTCCACACTGAACCGGGGCAGTAACGCCTGTTAGGGTTCTCAGTTCAGGGCAAATAGTTAACCGTCAAACCGGGGTCAAAACACTATGAAAGTATAGATATTTCATACTACAAACACCAGCAATAGATTTTTAAAGTAAAGAAAATTACCAGCATATATTTTTGTAAAAGAAATTAGAAATGCTCCCAAGAAAATTTCGGTAGTAAATGATTCATGAGTTGATATGCCGCAAAACAAAAACAAAAAAAAATATTTTCATTTTTAGCAAACTATTGCAATGAGGATTGTATCATTAGTCTTTGCATAGCAGTGGCAACATACACAATGGATTAAAGAACAAATTTCTTACTCCCACTAATTGAATGATTAATGAAAGTGCATGAGACAGGCGTCCATGCAAGGGAATAAAGCTTTGGAGAAATCTAGAAAAATATGTAATGTTTATGGTGAAGGATTCATAATTGAACGGCAAATTTTTTTGGAAAATTCTATTCTAGAGAAACGTCACTGGAAAATGAAGCCAGACAGGACTGGTTTCGTTTGGTTTGTTTTACGGCATATCAACCGCAATGGGTTATTTAATGCCGACAAAATTTTTATTGATGGTAATATTTCTTTCCTTCAAAACTGTATCGCTGGAAATACTGTATTGCTGGTAATCATTTTTTTACAAATTATTTCGGGTATTAAAACCTATCTTTACACTTTTATAATGTTTTGACTCCAATTTGGGGGGTTAATTATTTGCCTATATCTGGGACCTTAACAGGTGTTACCACCCCGGGTCAGGGTGGACCTGGGAACACTAGAAATTAAGAGGTGGTTCCACGCTCCGCAAAACCTCCTGGTCAGAGGCCTTGCTACTGGACGTAGTTTATCGTCTTACCCAGGACGTAGATGTAGTTTATCGTCATACCCAGGACGGGAACCCAGACATTAGCTTTCCCCGAACTTTGATGATGAAGCTCTAAAGTCATTGGAAAAGAAATCTACTACAAAACACTTGGTAATTAATAAAGATATTAAATACATCATAATCTACTATAAGGCGAAACTTAGCAAGCCGATTGTTTTCGATTGACACGCTCTTAACAAAAAGAACAAAAACGGAAATTATTTATGACTCAACCTCAGATTGTTACCAGCAGTCAATAACTGTGGTGTGGGTGGCCATCGTAAAATGAAACATAAATAACAGGACTCTTCAAAAAACAGAATTGACAAATTTTCCAATAAGCAATAACAAGAAAAAGAAACAGGTCAAAAACAATCTAAATTAAGCAAACGATATATGCAAGGAAAAGACGAAAAGTTCACAAGCGTCGATCATTGGCATCAATACACAAAAGCAAGTCCGGACAAGCGAACGTAGCGTTCTGACCTTCAAGACAGGACAGATTAGGACTGAGTCATATGAACACGAAAACCGGCGTATTTTATTAGGTAGGGAAAATCCCAGCATGCATTTGTTGGCTTCTGCCTATAAAAGGAGAGTGGAAATATTTTACTGCCATTTCTATTTGGATAGTATTATGGCATATGTTAGACTGAATGGTCACAGATGAGTTCTTGTGGTGAATGTGCAAATTATAATGAATGAATGGGGTCGTGAATTTGATAAGCTAGGTTTAGGATAGTTAATGTTGGCCATCCCTACCACACTTCTTCTTCAGCCTCGTGCCACATTAGTTGTAATAATGGAACAATAATTACACATTCATATTTGGATTCTATTGTAATAGATGAATGTGTCGTGTACTTGATTAGCTAGGTCCAGGATAGTTAATGTTCACCAGACTCTCCCCATTTTCACACCGACCTTGTGTCACAATTGTTCATTTTTTATCAAGAAATTACCATTCTTATTTTTATTAAAACAAACAACAGCCTATAATACAGTTCCAATAGTTTACGCTGAATAATACAGATACTGAATTAAGCATAAATTTTAAAAAATACACAAGAGCAGAATAGCAAAATAAACATTTAATTTTAGCGACTTACCCGACGAATTTTGTAGTGCATTTCCCCGGAAACTGTACGTTGAGTTTATAACAGTAATCGCTAACGGTACTGACGAATTGGCAGGAATCGTTACAACGGCAGTAGAACTTCTTGAACTATATACAGTTCCGTTTAATGAATTACGAAATATGACTTCAGTCACTTTGGGACCGAATTTGTATAGACCTTTGCAGCCATATGTCTTCAAATTGTATAATGCTAAAATAGAAAAGTCATGGATAATTTACATAATACATTACGGTACTGTGAAGAATCATAAAAAATAAATAAATAGAAGCAAACAAAACGTATTGTTCATTCTTAAATATCTTTTCTTATTTTTCCGGATTTTTTCTTATTTTCCCGGATTCTTTCTTATTGTTCCAGATTTTTCCGCAAGGTTTCTGGACTTTTTATCACACTATTTTTAATAGATGCAAATACAAAAAAATTAGAAAAGAAAAATAAATTAAAAATAAATAAATATATTATTTGTAAAAAATGAAGAGTACTTTTTTTTTTTTTTTACTTCAATTCACCCCCAAATACACTCAATGTAGATTGTTTTTCATTCATTTGTTTTTTTGTTTTTGTTTTTTATTTTTTTATTTTTTTAGGGACCTTTTGTAGACGTAAAATAAATGAAAAATAAATAAACAAATTTTCAGTAAAAATGTAAGTCTATTTTTTTTAACTTGAATTTACCTAATGAAAACCCCAAATACACTCAATGCAGATTGTTTTTCATTGATTTATTTTTTACGGTTTATCACTCTTTTGAGTAGTAAGAATAAATGAAAAATAAATAAATTTTCTGTAAAAAGTAAGTCTATTTTTTTTACTTTAATTCACCCAATAGAAAACCCAAAATACACTCAATTTAATGCCAGAAAATATTTTTTGTAGATAAAAATGGTTTAATGATACAAATCCTACTAATTAACCCATAGCTGGGAGGAGAAGAGGTATATTCATAACTTTCTCAAGGGTATTTATACCTAAGTGAATATAACAAACCCCACTAAAATTGGTTCCTTGATTTCCAATTTCGAGCCATTATACATTGCACTACCTTCACAGTTGTATTCCGAAGCTGTCACCCATCGAGATACTGACCAAGCTCGACGTTGCTTAACTTCAGCGAGTGTACAAGAACCGGTGTTTCAATGTGTTATGGCCGTAAAGTTGTTGAAAATGGAGTACTTCTGCCATATATAGGTAGGAGCTGTCCAGTCTGAAGTTTCTAGTCTCGATAGAGTCCAAAAACGACTCCTCGTCCCTGTGGGTGATGAATTATTTTCCATCGTGCAATCCCTTTTTCACAGAAGAAACGTCGTTAGTCTTGTTGGTGCATTATCGCTACTTCCATGGAAAATGTTCAGAAGAATTACATTCCTTAGTTCCACCATTGTCTGACCTTCATAGCTAAGAGTTGCCATGCCAGACACGAACCATCTTCATTCCCTTCCTATTCCATTGATGAGATGTAAATTCCACTAGAGCAGCTCCTTCCCACGAACCGCTGTTTGGTGGAACCGACACACAAGTGAATGCTTTCCTGATCACTATAATCTTATTCTGCTGTTCAAGTCTTGAGTCAACCATTGTCTTCCCCACATATCCTCATATATACTGTGCCTATCACTCTGTAATCCTCTACCTATAGACCCTTGTGAAGAGTGAAATATTCTTAATTCAAATCATTCTACTATTTTACCGATGGAGGTCATGGAAATTTAAAGACAATAAAGAAAAGACGTGGAGAGGCAAAAACGTCTTCATTCTAATGCGACATATCATTATCAGAGTAATTGAAGAAAAATCTTATGTTGCCCAAATTTTTTAGATGAAGCATTGCCTTTATCCATTTATTAAAAACTAATTTTTCTTTCACCTATATTTTTTAAACTCCGAAGTAGTGATAATAAAACAACTGTTTGAAATTGTCTTCAATGCCAGCACTTATATTTGGTACGTAAAATTATTTCCATTCCATGTTGTTAACTTTACGGTCGTAGAATGTAAAACGATCTGCGCATTGCACTAAAAAAAAGAAAACTAAAAAATGAATCATAACTGATCAACAGTGATTTAAATATGTGAATGTCTCGAAAGACCACAGATATACGTCTAGATAGTTTTGGTTCTGTCAGTAACGGTAGCGCGGCGTTTGTTGTGGTCGTACAGGCCCACATAGATGTCGTAGTCACAGCTGCAGTGAATGCACTTAAAGACAGTCTCCTGCAGTGTTGTTGATTTTCCGTCAGCGGTGGTCCTGTCTTCCTCTTCGAGCTCCAGTCTCGTAGTAGTCTCGTCTGCTGCGAGAGCGTAAGTAAGCGTGAAATAATTCAAACTGAAGTTAAAATAGCGCATTGATTAGTCTTCTTTAATAACGATTCAACACTGCCAACTCAACACCGGCCAACACATGACAACTTAACTTCAGGACAACTCACTACCAACTTACTCAGCGCGTGGACAACGCTGGGGTCGAATTTATAGCTTCAGACCGGTGTTGGCTGTCATAGTGTGCACATCTCTTAGACCGGCTTTGCATCGTAGAGATTTTGAAAGTTTGGTTGTCTTAGTGATGTATTAGTTACAACAGCGTTATTTGGCTGACTAGTGTTTTAATTTTCAAGGTCGGACAAATAATCATGCTGAAGCGGCAAACAGAAAACTGTACACAGAGCTGGAGAAAGAGCAGCCCACAATATGCATATTCATTACGGGGCTGCAAAAGGTGAAAAGAAACCGAAATGCATTTTTAGAGCAATTAATTACCTGCCCACCCCCAAGTTGAAGATGAACGCAGATAAAAGAATTTTACAGATTATTCCTTCTTTTTCGCAACGATATCCAAATGAATATTTAAGGGGAATTGCGTACAATTTCCAATAATCTTTTAAAATTAGAAATAAAGTCATGCATTAAAATGATCCATAATTAATTATTTTTAATTTGTTTTTAAAAAGTCGCCGAAATATTTTGCATGTTGTTGAGTTGTCCTCACGCTGAGTAGAATTGTAGTGAGTTGTCCAGGAATTGAGTAATCACAGAGATGATTTGGCTGGTGTTGAGTCGGCGGTGTTTAGTCAACGGCGTTGAGTCGGTGGTGATGAGTCGTCTTGCACCCTCTCAAGATTTTTGACAAGATTCAGAAAAGGGTCTGTAATGTAATCGATCCTGATCTGGCATCACGATTTCACTCACTTTCTCACTGCGGTGACGTGGCTCCCTCATGTCTTTTCTACAAATATTTTCATAATTGTTTCTCCTTGTCTTGACTGCATGAATTTAAGCGTGCTACTAGATTGGCAACTAGGTTTCACCCTTTTACTGTTGAACTAGTTAGATGCAACCGCCACGTCTATTCTAACTATTTTGATTTCCTGCTTCCCAGCCAACCACAAACTTCAAAAATTTAAATGCAACACCATTCGCCAAAGAAAAAAATAAATAAGTAAAGTAAAAATAAAATTTAAGCATGAATTTCTAAAAATATATAGAGAAATTGTGCAGATATATTGCAGATGGTGTCACAAATTTTAGTGTAGAAATGGGAATCAGAAGACCGTTATCAGATCTCCGCTGTCACATATGTCCCCATCTCTCTCTCTCTCTCTCTCTCTCTCTCATTAACTTTTACTCACATAGCAGAGTTAAATAGCAGAATAAACCAGGCTCTATAGCATTGGGTGGCAGCCAGCATGGACTCGGCGTCTACATTAAGGACGGGTTTTCTTGTGGCGAGAACACAAAAAACAAAAACAAAAACGAGGAGGACACTGATCTCGCATATAAGTGCTTTCGCTTGGCACTTATCCACAGTACCACATTCATTTTCGTTCTCTATCGTCCTAAGGACGATAGGACACTAATTTTCGAACGAATATCTGGGAGGATTGATAATATCTTCACCGAATTTCCCTCAGCTAGATTTTATATCTGTGATGATTTCAATATTCACCACAAAGAATGTTTAGTCAACTCGAACAAAACCGATGAAAAGGTAGATATTGCAGAGACTTCTCCGTCGTCTATGAACTAGCTCAGATCATCGAAGAACCCACTCGGCTTCTTTCTCACCATCCTGCGCTGAGGAATTTTTACCCCCACCTGGCACGTCAGACAATTCCTTATTCAATATCCAAATTGATACCAAACCAAATGTATCCCCTGATTTGCCGTTCCATAGAAGGATTTTTCGTGACAGGAAGGTAGACTGGGGCATCTTTAGATCTTATAAGGCGTAAGTTCCTCTCTAGAACTTCTTCAAGCATGCTGCCTCCAAAATTGCTGTTCTCATCTCAGAATAGATCATTTCTGGAATGGCTCTCCATCTTTTAAAGCTCCTGATCAATTTTTGCTTCTGGTTTTGATGTGAATCAAACATGAAAATCCAGTTTTGTACAGGTATGTAGTCGCGAAAGCTACCGGCACAGCGAGAGTCTTTTTTGCCATTTGAATTCCACGATTGTTTCACAGATCGATGAGATCTTCCTTGATGTCTCATCATCCACACTAGAATTTTCTTAATAAATCAACCCTAATGATTCTGTATCCTCGCACCTACAAAGAACCGATATCGCCCCTAATACAAGACACAATCTAACTAAATAGCAACTCTGTAGATTAAGTAACCTTACAGGAGAGTGCCTGTTTGTGCATGGGCAGTGAGGGTCTATCGGATGGGTTGCGGGATAATCAAAATGATTGCATACATTCCTATCGTACCTCGTGTAATTGGTTCTGTATTTTAAAAGATTATCAAAATATGTTACCTGCTTGTGATTGAGCATTTTTTACAAAGCTGATCAAGATAATAACCAGAAAGAGTCCAATTCTTGTTGCCATTTCCAAAAGATTCCTGCAAATGAAAATTTAGCAAAATAATATTTGGAGAAAGATAATGCATTGCTAAAACGGCCATAAAAAAACAAACAAATCATTTCAAGAATATATCCACAAAATGTGAGTGTATGAATTCATAAAAGCTGTCCAAGTCTAAGATTAAATAATATTTTTTTTTAATCTTAATTGCAATGTTCAGGTCTGTTAAATTCTACCATTGTCAGTTCACTAGAAGGAATAGAAACTGAAGATATAACCTCCAAGAAAATTTGAATTCGATTTCTATATCTTAAAAAAGCTGCTTAACATGAACGGTATAAAAATAGGTATTACCACGGAAGTCTATCAGTAGGCGAAATACAAATTTTATCGTACAGTTACACTCTTCATAATGGAAAATGAACTTTGTTGTAATATATATATATATATATATATATATATATATATATATATATATATTATATGAGATGAGGTATTATGTACACTACTTACATTATGCGGACTATTGTCCTCATCTTTGTTGCCATATATATATATATATATATATATATATATATATATAGTAGATATATATATATAGTAATCTGTTGCTATAATCAAGGCGAGTCCTATTAACACAACATAGAATTTGAAATATGTTAAAACTGACTGACAATAATAATTCCAATGGTAATTCCGTATAATTATACTAGGTTAATGCCTGAGCTTTTCTAGCTTAACTGAACTCCTCTTATTACCTTTCGAAAATGTTTCATCCTAACATTATCCTAGGGTTTTTGTAGATACATGCCAGCTAGCGTATGTGCTTAAAAGTAGATATCTAAGTGTATGTTAGTGCAGACAGCTATACAAGTAGGTATTATTAACGTGGACAAACGCATGAGAACGCATACATATATATCCAAATTCACTCCAAATCATTAGAAACACTCCCACTAAACTTTAAGCTCTGATATATGGACGAGTTTAATACCAATAATTTCGAATCAACTCTCCTTTTTTTTACCAAAGTTACCTCTTGATTGTTTTTTCATGTTTTCGATAATTTGCATGAAATCCCGTCGGATTAAATTTTGACCGTGTGACTATTAGGGTGTAGGTCAGCTCATCGGTCTCCCCCTCCCCAGGCTCTCCTACCTCCATAATATGATTCCAGTAACGGTGCCTTCTCCTTCTCCCCATACCTCCCAATATGTCCCCTATAACACACTCTCTCTTTTTCTTTTTTTCTTCAATTAAACGGTACACAAACTGATACCAGAAACAGTTTGAAAAATCCTGAGAATTTTAAAATTAAAATACGTAGATAGATAGATAGATAGATAGATAGATAGATAGATAGATAGATATGTCAGTGTGTGTGTGTGTGTGTGTGAGAGAGTGTGTGTGTGTGTTTGTGTGTGTTGTAATACATATATTGTGTATTTAGGCAGCAGTCGTCCTTTGATGCAAGGTTCAATAAATATGACAGACAAGGTGATTTGATTAAGTTTTTTATACAATTTATCATGTGATCTTATAATCTTTTTCTTTTCAGTAGATAAATTATATTGTATAATTTATCTACGGAAAAGAAAAAGACCATATGAAAAATTATATAAAAATACTTAATCAAAACTCCTTGTCTGTCATATTCAATGAAACTTGCATAATATATATATATATATATATATATATATATATATATATATTATAAATTAATTGATTTAAAATATGTTTTTTCCGCTACACAGTTCCAACCATGTTTCAAAAATAGAAGCTAAAAACCCCGAATTTAATTTTGCAATTAAATTAAAAGCATTAGTTCCATTTCATCTTCAAGCGAATTTTGGAGTAACTTTTAAAAATTACCGGGTTTAAAGACACAGCTAAAATCACGTTTCCATGGTTACAGAATATTCTACTTAAATTGAACAAGGGATGTCTAGATTTTCCTTATGTCAGTATCATTGTATCAGTTATTAGCTACAATTTGGTAAGGGGTAGGGATGTATTTTACAATGAAACCTAACATCAGTTGAATGGATGTCGTCTGGATTTAAAAAAAAAAATTGTTAACGGTAAAAAAAATTTCAACGTCATTTTTAAATTTAAAGATTTTCGGGGTTTTTTCATAATACTTTTTATTTAACTACGATTTGAAATATTCTTCTTTTTTTTATTTTATATTTTTTTTAAGAACAGTTAAATATTCTTTTTTTGTAGGATTATTTTAACATCAAGTTTAAATGTATTAGAATCCATTTAAATTTATTTTGTAATTTATTTTTTTATTTTAACATCAAGTTTTCAAGTATGTATATTTTTTTGAGGTAGTATTTTTTTTTTTAGAATTCATTCAATTTATTTAAATTTATCAAAATTACAACTTTGAATTTTAAAGTTTTAAAATATTTTCATTGTTTAGTTTTTAGACTTTAATTTCACTAATTTAATAAACTTTTTATTTTTCCATATATAAGTAAATTACAATTTTTTTTTTTATAAACTTAAATTTAAATATTATTTAATGTTTCTCATTTAGTTTATTTATTAATTAATTTATTTATTTATTTCAAATATAAGGACATGGGTCATTCAAAAATTCATTTTATTTAACTACATCTTATGGCATTTCAAATATTAATTTTATTTTAATAGACTATACTACTTTATAACAGAAGGATAATTACTCATATTAAGTTTTTTTTTATATTTAGATATTATTTTTTAGTTTAGTAAACTTTATGTATTAATTCAAGTTTAATGTATGTATTATTTTTTTTTTTTAAAATTTATGAAATTTAATTTCAGTTTAGAAACTTTTATTTTATTTAAACCTAGTAATTTTAATTACAATTTCAAAAGCTTATCTTAACTTTAAAATTTTTTTAATCGTTTTTTCTTGGAAATATTTTTTAAAAAATTGTTTAGAATTTTCAATTTAACTACTATTTTATTACTTTCAAAATTATAACTTTTAAAATTTTAAAAAAATTTTTCATTGTAAGTTTTTAAAATTATTTTTTTTATAAAGAAGGAAAATTATATAGTAAGTTAAAATTTTTTTTTTTTTTTAATGTAAATTTTAAATTTTTTTTTTATTTAAGTAATATTAATGGCAATTTAATGGCACTTACAAGACTAGCTAAGTCATTTCTTAGATTTAGTAAACTTTATTTATTAATTAATTTATTTATTTATTTCAAATATATGTAACCTAAGTAATAAGGTTTCATATGTATGTACAAAGAACAGGTTAGAATTCATTTTATTTAACTACAATTTTAATTACAATTTTAAAATTACAACTTTAAAATTTTAAAATATTTTCATTGTTAGTTTTAATAGACTATACTACTTTATAACAGAAGGATAATTACTCATATTAAGTAAAATTATTTTTCCATATCAAAGTATATGTAAATTACAATTTTTAAACTTTTATATTTAGATATTATTTAAGTAATATTAATGGCACAGACTACAAAACTATCTAAGTCATTTTTCAGATTTAGTAAACTTTATGTATTAATTCAAGTTTAAGTATGTATATGAGGTTACATTTTTTTTTTTTTTATTAAATTTATGATGACTATGACGGCAAAAATGGTAACTTAATTTCGCTGATTTAGTAAACTTTTATTTTATATATAAACCTAGTAATATAATGTTTCTCATGTAAGTACAAAGGACATGGGTCATTCAAAAGCTTACATCTTATGGCATTTCAGATTAATTTTATTTTACTATCGGTGTTTTTCTTGGATTCTTTTTAGTGCGTGTAGTATTATTTAAAAGAAATTTAGGTTAGAATTCATTCAATTTAACTATAATTTTAATTTCAATTTTAAAATTACAAACTTTAAACTTTTAAAATATTTTCATTGCTAGTTTTAATAGACTATATTACTTTATAACAGAAGGAAAATTACTCATAGTATGTAAAATTATTTTTCCATATCAAAGTATATGTAAATTACAATTTTTAAACTATTATATTTAAATATTATTTAAGTAATATAAATGGCACAGACTACAAAACTATCTTAGTCCTTTCTCAGATTTAGTAAACTTTATTTATTAATTAATTTATTTATTTATTTCAAATATATGTAACCTAAGTAATAAAGTTTCATATGTATGTACAAAGAACAGGTTAGAATTCATTTTATTTAACTACAATTTTAATTACAATTTTAAAATTACCACTTTAAAATTTTATAAAATATTTTCATTGTTAGTTTTAATAGACTATATTACTTTATAACAGAAGGATAATTTCTCATAGTAAGTAAAATTTTTTTTTTCCATATCAAAGTATATGTAAATTACAATTTTTAAACTATTATATTTAAATATTATTTAAGTAATATAAATGGCACAGACTAGAAAACTATCTTAGTCCTTTCTCAGATTTAGTAAACTTTATGTATTAATTAATTAATTAATTTATTTTAAATATATGTAACCTGAGTAATAAAGTTTCATATGTATGTACAAAGAATAATGGGTCATACATTACCTTACATCATCTAGCTTTTGTTATAATTTCATTTTTCAGTAGGTGTTTTATTGGATTCATTCAAGTGTTTGTAGTACATTTATTATAGAGGTGTTTCGGTTAGGATACATTTTATTTAACTACAATTTTTTAAAAGGTGCTTATGTTTGAATACGTTTTAACTACAATTTTAAATTTTAAATACAAGTTTAAAACATTTTCACTGCCTTTTTTTTTTTTTATATATATATATTATTTAAGGAAAATTTTTGACAATGACGGCATATAATAGCTATTTCATTTCTCTGATTCAGTAAATTTTTATTTTTTATAAACTTAGTAATATATAGTTTCTCTTGTATGCATAGAGGACACAGGTCGTTTAATGATCTACAAATTCTAGCTTTTCTTATTAACTTCCATTTTACTGTAGGTGTTTTATTTGATTCTTTTAGATGCCAGAAATATTTTGAGAGAGATGTTTGATTTTTATATCTATTTATTCTAAATGAAGTTTGATGTTGGTTGAATAT